GGGGGGGGGTTGTCATGTTTGAGAAAAGTGCAGAGAGCTGTGTGATGTGGTTTCACGTACACCCTTTTACCACCAGCTGATATAAGATTACACTTGTGTGTAGGGGGGGGGGGGAGGGGTTGTCATGTTTAAGAAGAGTGCAGAGAGTTGTTTGAGAAGAGTGCAGAGAGCTGTGTGATGTGGGTTCACTACACCCTTTTTCTACCAGCTGATATAAGATTTCACTTGTGTGTAGGGGGAGGGGGATTGTCATGTTTAAGAAGAGTGCAGAGAGCTGTGTGAAGTGGGTTCACTACACCCTTTTACCACCAGCCGATATAAGATTACACTAGTGTGTAGTTGGGGTGGAGGGGGTTGTCATGTTTGAGAAGAGTGCAGAGAGCTGTGTGATGTAGGTTCACTACACCCTTTTACCACCAGCTAATATATGATTACACTTTTGTGTAGAGGGGTTGTCATGTTTAAGAAGAGTGCAGAGAGCTGTGTAATGTGGGTTCACTACACCCTTTTACCATCAGCCGATATAAGATTACACTAGTGTGTAGGGGGGGGAGGGGGTTGTCATGTTTGAGAAGAGTGCAGAGAGCTGTGCAATGTGGGTTCACTACACCCTTTTACCACCAGTTGATATATGATTACACTTTTGTGTAGAGGGGTTGTCATGTTTAAGAAGATTACAGAGAGTTGTTTGAGAAGAGTGCAGAGAGCTGTGTGATGTGGGTTCACTACACCCTTTTTCCACCAGCTGATATAAGATTTCACTTGTGTGTAGGGGGAGGGGGTTGTCATGTTTGAGAAGAGTGCAGAGAGCTGTGTGATGTGGGTTTACTACACCCTTTTACCACCAGCCGATATAAGATTTCACTTGTGTGTAGAGGGGTTGTCATGTTTAAGATGAGTGCAGAGAGTTGTTTGAGAAGAGTATAGAGAGCTGTGTGATGTGGGTTCACTACACCCTTTTTCCACCAGCTGATATATGATTACACTTTTGTGTAGAGGGGTTGTCATGTTTAAGTAGAGTGCAGAGAGCTGTTTGAGAAGAGTGTAGAGAGCTGTGTGATGTGGGTTCACTACACCCTTTTTCCACCAGCTGATATATGATTACACTTTTGTGTAGAGGGGTTGTCATGTTTAAGTAGAGTGCAGAGAGCTGTGTGATGTGGGTTCACTACACTCTTTTACCACCAGCTGATATATGATTTTACTTGTGTATAGGGGGAGGGGGGTTGTCATATTTGAGAAGAGTGCAGAGAGCTGTGTGATGTGGGTTCACTACACCCTTTTACCACCAGCTGATATAAGATTTCACTTGGGTGTGGGGGGGGGGGGGGGTTGTCATGTTTGAGAAAAGTGCAGAGAGCTGTGTGATGTGGTTTCACATACACCCTTTTACCACCAGCTGATATAAGATTACACTTGTGTGTAGGGGGGGGGGGGAGGGGTTGTCATTTTTAAGAAGAGTGCAGAGAGCTGTGTGATGTGGGTTCACTACACCCTTTTCTACCAGCTGATATAAGATTTCACTTGTGTGTAGGGGGAGGGGGATTGTCATGTTTAAGAAGACTGCAGAGAGCTGTGTGATGTGGGTTCACTACACCCTTTTACCACCAGCCGATATAAGATTACACTAGTGTGTAGTTGGGGTGGAGGGGGTTGTCATGTTTGAGAAGAGTGCAGAGAGCTGTGTGATGTAGGTTCACTACACCCTTTTACCACCAGCTAATATATGATTACACTTTTGTGTAGAGGGGTTGTCATGTTTAAGAAGAGTGCAGAGCGCTGTGTAATGTGGGTTCACTACACCCTTTTACCACCAGCCGATATAAGATTACACTAGTGTGTAGGGGGGGGGGGAGGGGGTTGTCATGTTTGAGAAGAGTGCAGAGAGCTGTTTGAGAAGAGTGTAGAGAGCTGTGTGATGTGGGTTCACTACACCCTTTTTCCACCAGCTGATATATGATTACACTTTTGTGTAGAGGGGTTGTCATGTTTAAGTAGAGTGCAGAGAGCTGTGTGATGTGGGTTCACTACACTCTTTTACCACCAGCTGATATATGATTTTACTTGTGTATAGGGGGAGGGGGGTTGTCATATTTGAGAAGAGTGCAGAGAGCTGTGTGATGTGGGTTCACTACACCCTTTTACCACCAGCTGATATAAGATTTCACTGGGTGTGGGGGGGGGGGGGGTTGTCATGTTTGAGAAAAGTGCAGAGAGCTGTGTGATGTGGTTTCACATACACCCTTTTACCACCAGCTGATATAAGATTACACTTGTGTGTAGGGGGAGGGGAGGGGTTGTCATTTTTAAGAAGAGTGCAGAGAGCTGTGTGATGTGGGTTCACTACACCCTTTTTCTACCAGCTGATATAAGATTTCACTTGTGTGTAGGGGGAGGGGGATTGTCATGTTTAAGAAGACTGCAGAGAGCTGTGTGATGTGGGTTCACTACACCCTTTTACCACCAGCCGATATAAGATTACACTAGTGTGTAGTTGGGGTGGAGGGGGTTGTCATGTTTGAGAAGAGTGCAGAGAGCTGTGTGATGTAGGTTCACTACACCCTTTTACCACCAGCTAATATATGATTACACTTTTGTGTAGAGGGGTTGTCATGTTTAAGAAGAGTGCAGAGCGCTGTGTAATGTGGGTTCACTACACCCTTTTACCACCAGCCGATATAAGATTACACTAGTGTGTAGGGGGGGGGGAGGGGGTTGTCATGTTTGAGAAGAGTGCAGAGAGCTGTGCAATGTGGGTTCACTACACCCTTTTACCACCAGTTGATATATGATTACACTTTTGTGTAGAGGGGTTGTCATGTTTAAGAAGATTACAGAGAGTTGTTTGAGAAGAGTGCAGAGAGCTGTGTGATTTGGGTTCACTACACCCTTTTTCCACCAGCTGATATAAGATTTCACTTGTGTGTAGGGGGAGGGGGGTTGTCATGTTTGAGAAGAGTGCAGAGAGCTGTGTGATGTGGGTTCACTACACCCTTTTACCACCAGCCGATATAAGATTTCACTTGTGTGTAGAGGGGTTGTCATGTTTAAGATGAGTGCAGAGAGTTTTTTGAGAAGAGTACAGAGAGCTGTGTGATGTGGGTTCACTACACCCTTTTTCCACCAGCTGATATAAGATTTCACTTGTGTGTAGGGGGAGGGGGGTTGTTATGTTTGAGAAGAGTCCAGAGAGCTGTTTGATGTGGGTTCACTACACTCTTTTACCACCAGCTGATATAAGATTTCACTTGTGTGTAAGGGGAGGGGGTTGTCATGTTTAAGAAGAGTGCAGAGAGCTGTGTGATGTGGGTTCATTACACCCTTTTACCACCAGCTGATATAAGATTTCAGTTGTGTGTAGGGGGGGGGGGGTTGTCTTGTTTGAGAAGAGTACAGAGAGCTGTGTGATGTGGGTTTACTACTCCTTTTACCACTAGCTGATATACAGATGTATGATTACACTTTTGTCTTGAGTGTGGGGGGTGGGGGGGTTGTCATGTTTGAGAAGAGTGCATAGAGTCGTGTAATGTTGGTACACCCTTTTACCACCATCTCTGATATATAATTGTATCCCCAGGCAGTACGCAGGTGGGGTACTTTGGATTCAGCAGCATCATATTCTTGTGTGTGCTTTAACTGCCACGTTCCTTTCAAATTTTGTATAGAGGTATATCTTGGTATTATCTACACACCTATATCTTTTGGTGATGCTGTTCCCAGTGTTTCGTCTTCTATAGGGGAAAAGGCCATATTTTGTGGATGGTTTATGTGCGCTCTATAGGCCACATTTCTCAAGTGATGTTGTTCAAATTTTGAACAAAGGTGTATCTCGGTATAATCTACAAGCCTCTAGATTTTCGTGATGCTGCCTCCAGTGTTCCGTCTTTTATAGTGTAAAAGGCCATATTTTGGTGGCTGTCTTTTGTGTGCTCTAACGGCCACATTTCTTGACAGATTTCTTTCAAATTTTCTACAGAGATGCATTTACAAACATATTTTTTAGGTAATGTTGCTTCTAGTCTAGACAATAGTCCGAGCCACTAGTGGCGACCTCTCTACTTCATCCTTTTGTTTCAGGGAGGGGAGAGGGGATCTTTGTCCCTCCTTCGAACATACAGGTGTAAGGATGACACAAAATCGCTGCCCCTGCAGGGGGATACATTCGCATTGCGCTGCAATACAAATTGCGATATTTGTAGTGTTTATATGGAACCATTAGTGCACTGCCATTGTTATACATGTGTGAGGTAAAGCTGGCTGATGACATATTGATGCTGATTGGCTTTGTGACAAGATAATAGGGTACACTGCTGGTAATGTTATGAGATGGGAGAGGGGACATACTTACATTGTATGTCAAACATATAACTAATTGTTTCATGAAATGACCCCAGATTTGAAGCCCACTGCACTACTTATAGCTAATTGCGCCCTCTATACAGCCAACAATGCCTAAGTGGTACCCGTTGATACTCTTTTCTTATGTTCACTGAGAGCGGATTTGATGAAATAACCAACTGCCAGTGACCTTGCAGGGAGGTGTAATCCCTCCATGCCAAACTAGTGCAGAGGGGCTTTAAACTAGTCAGTGACCATGAGGGGAATTGCAAAAAAGGGCGTGGTCACACTCATATTCTGTGCTCTTCACATGGTAAGTCTATTACTTAGATTATTCAGGGAGGAGAGACAATATTCTTAGAAGTTATTGGTTGGGTACAATTATATACAGTTAAACCTGTTTAGTAAAGCCACACACGGGAAACATTAAAAAAATGGCCATTGTAGACAGCTCTCGAGGGAGACAAAATGCATGGCCACTATGGACAGGTGGCCTTTATAGAGAGAGGTTGCCACCACGTCAGGTTTGATTGTACCTAGTATGCAAAGGTGTAGATGCCAACCATTTTGGAAGCCTTTGTCATGTACCTGTATAGACGATGCTTTACGTGTGTCATTTTGATGAAGATGAGAGCTAGACTGTTGTTGCTTTGTTCATGTAGATCTCCAGATGCCACAGGCCCGCAGGTCAAGAAGATGGGGGATTTGTTTCCAGCAGACTCTGGTAAATATGCCTTCGTACTTTACATATCAAGGTTTTGCAACTTTAAGGTATAGACCAGTTGTGGTCATGCGATTGCATTGTAAAAGAAACGTTTTGGAATCGATCAGAAAAGGTTGATCATCTAGCTTAAGTATTGGTGTGTACTGCAAGGTTCTGGAATCATCAAAATGATAAGAAATTTGGCTCAGTCTTGGTAAAGTTACAAGCACCGACACAGAAAGATGTATATGGGACTACTCGATATCTCTCCAGGACGGATCGATATGATAAGTTACCAAATTTATCAATGAGTAGGCGGTTTCCCGGCAAAATTTGTATTAACGGTATCACATATTATTCAAAACATAGTCTTTCACATGATTGGTAATAAGTGCTTTCATTTCATATTTTGAGAGGGGACATTTCTAAAACTGGTCTATACCTTTAAACCTTTGTAATAATAAATGGCCTATTTGATAAACTGTAGATTTGGTAAAACAATGCTATTTTGGGGTAAGGTGCGAAGGGAAAATGGACGTTATTTATTAAGGTTTCTGCAACTTGCATGCTGTTGGAGAAACTCTGGAATGCAGTGGTCATTCATTCTGTGATTGAATTGATCATTCTTGAAGCATTTTTTTTCTTCAGAAGGCTATCATAATTGAGCCCATACTATTAATCATGTTTCGCCTTTTTTTATTTCAGGAAAAGCAGGTGATACTCCAGCCAAAAAGTCTTCCCCAAGTGAAAAGGTAACCCATTTAATCTTTTAATTTTTTCACTTCAAAAGACAATGAAAATCGCTAATCGAGTTAACTTGTAAATTAGTATGAGTTTGAATTTAAAATTTGTGCTGCAGAAGATTTTGGTCTGCAATAAATGTTGACAAGTATTTGAATGTGGCAGTGTTCATTAAGCAGCATCCAGTGCACGGGGTATGCTCCAATTTGTTTTGAGAAAATATCTGTAAGAATAAAAGGCCCTACTGTCATGTTAATAGAGGAGTGAATTTTAAAATGTGACTTCCCAATTTCTGAACAAAATCAAGATTGTATTGCCCTAGGTGTTGGTACTGTTATATATGGTTTAGAGTGGCAGTGCGCCCTCTTGTGTTAGGTACTGACTTGACAACCAGAATGAAGATTACTAGAATAAAGCACTAACCAGTTGAAGTTGTAAACTTTAAACAGACTTTATTGCCTATTATGTAGAGTCAAACAAAAGCATAAAACATGGTGTCAGAAGTGTAGTGACCATGGACTCATTCCTGAAATCGACGTACAGCCAGGAAGAATAATTTACAGAGTCGAACTGTTCACGTTCCGAGCAAGTTTGCAGCAACCGAGTACACGCGAAGTCGTCGTACAGTGGACAGATTAGCGAATGGTTCGTAGCATAGCATCCATAAACGCGACGTCGTTGAGCAGCGGTGAATATGACTTATGAACATTGGCGCAATAGACTTGACTCGTCAGTCGATGTAATGTGAACTATCAATAATAATAACGATGTTTAGTTATTTTGGTTGTTTTACGTGTGCATTGTTTGGAATGAAATGGTGTGGATTTATGGAAAGAGTGCATTAATATCAGAATTAATACTCGATAAGTCCAATCAGTCTGGTTCATTCAGTGGGTTTAGCAGTATAGTTTACTCCGTATTAGAATTTGCTGATTTGTTACTGTAAGTGTAATTGTATAGGCGGTAGAGATAACCATGTCTAACACTGAGGCAGTACAAGATCCTCCCCAGAGGGGAAGTGAAGAGTCAGAAGGAGTAAATGAAACTGGGACTAACCAGGGTCAGGTCTTGAGTGATAACAATACTGATAATGATAGTGTTAGGACCAGAAATAGGCCGGGCAGTACAAGTAGAACAAATGTGCCACTCCCAAGACCTCTTTCGGTAAAAGGGGATATGAAGAAAAACTGGGGTATTTTCACCCAGATGTGGGACAGTTATGAGGTCATAACTGGGTTAGAACACGAAAGTAATAAAATTCGTGTGGCACATTTCATAACGGCACTAGGAACTGATGCATTGGAGATTCAACAAGGCCTCCCTTTCAGAAATGAGGAGGAAAGAAAGAGTTATAAATGCATAAGAAAACTCTGGTCTGAATATTGTGTCGGGCAAACAAACATTACTTTTGAAAGATATCAGTTCAATAAGTGTGTTCAGAATACTGATGAGTCAGTTGAGAATTATTATGTGAGGTTAAGGTCTCTTGCAAGTACTTGTGAGTTTGGTACTCTAACTGATGACCTCATCAGAGATCGAATCGTTCTAGGGATTAGAGACGATAATACAAGAAAACGTCTTTTGCAAGAGCCAAATCTTACTCTGTCTAGTTGTTTGGATATCTGCAGAGCTATGGAGTCGTCCAAAGCTCAGAGCAAAGCCGTGCAGGAACCAGTATCTGCCTATGCAGTGTCCCATAAACCAAAGGTTTGGAAGCATAGTGGGGGTAAGGGCAAGAAGCTAGCTCCTAAATTGATTAATTGTGGTTTCTGTGGTAAGCAGCATGAAAAAGACAAATCAAAATGCCCAGCTTATGGCCAAAAGTGTAAGCTGTGCAAAAGAGAAAATCATTTCGCTGTGAAATGTAGACAGAATAAGAACAAGGCTCACAGAGTAGAGACAATTGAAGAGGATGAAGATTCTGAACAAGAGTGTGTATATGTTTCTCTGATAGGCACAGATGAAGCATTTCAGGTATCTGCTGATAGTAAGAGTCCAAATTATCAGAAAAAGATCATTGCAAAGTTTAGAATCAATGACGAAGACGAGATTGGTATGCAGGTTGATTGTGGAGCGACATGTAATGTTATCCATCTAGAAGATGTTCCATCTGGGACAGAGTTAACTAGTACAAATCAGGTTCTGATTGTGTATGGTCAAGGAACAGTACCAGTTGCAGGGAAATGCAAGTTGCATCTTAGGAATGTAAAGAATAACAAGAGGTACTTAGTTCCATTTGTTGTTGTGAAGGGCGAAGTCACAAGACCACTTTTGGGAGCTAGTACAGGCCAGCAGATGAAGTTGATCAAAGTACAGTATGAAAACATTGAAGTTGTTCATGCAGTAGCTAATGATGATATTCTGATCCCATACAAGGATGTATTTACAGGGTTGGGTAACATGCCAGGAGTAGTTCATTTGACCTTAGAGGCTGAGGCAAAGCCAGTAGTGATGCCCCCTAGAAGGGTCCCTCTTTCAATTAAAGAAGATTTGAAAGAAGAGTTGTGTAGGCTTGAAAAGCTGCAGGTGATTGAGAAGGTAGAAGATCCTAGTGATTGGGTATCTAGTCTTGTAGTAGCTAGGAAACCAAGTGGTAAATTGAGAGTATGCATCGATCCGCAACATCTTAATAGGTCGTTGAAGCGTGAGCATTACCCATTGTCAACGATTGATGATGTCCTACCACAGTTAGCGAATGTGAAAGTTTTCAGCAAGGCCGACTTGAAGGAAGGTTTTCTACAGTGTAAGTTGGACGCAGAATCATCCAAGCTTACAACATTTCAGACACCTTGGGGTAGATATAGGTTTCTTCGCTTACCCTTTGGTCTATCACCTTCGCCTGAGCTCTTCCAGAAGCGCCTAGATCAGTGCCTTGAAGGCCTACCAGGAGTATTCGTCATAGCAGATGACATTCTCATAACTGGACAGGGTGGGACACATGCAGAGGCCTGCATAGACCATGATCGTAACATGACTAGTTTCCTTCGCCGATGTCGCGAGCGAGACATCAAGCTGAATTCTAGCAAGCTTGAGTACAAATGTAAGGAGGTGCAGTTCATTGGTCACCGACTGACCAAGGAAGGTGTTCGGCCCGATCCTAGCAAAGTCGCAGCTCTCGTTGACATGCCACAGCCAGTAGATATACCTGGAATCCAGCGATTTGTGGGAATGGTTCAATACTTAGCAAAGTTCTTGCCATCATTGTCGGGGCTCAGCGAACCGTTACGTAGGTTGACCGACAAGGACACTCCCTGGAACTGGGGAGAAGAACAGTCTAGAGCGTTCATCGCGATCAAAGGACTTGTTACAGAAGCACCGGTTCTCCGATACTTTGATCAGCAGTTGCCGGTAGAGGGTCAAGGTGATGCCTCACAAAAGGGCCTGGGTTTCGTGTTGACTCAGAATGACCAACTGGTGACATACTCAAGTAGAGCGTTGACTGAGGCCGAAACTAGATATTCTCAGATCGAGAAGGAACTTCTTGCGCAAGTTTTCGGACTTGAAAGAAACCATCAGTACGTGTACGGTAGAAAGGTGATCCTTTGGACAGACCACAAACCGCTAGTGACAATAACGCGTAAACCGTTGGCTTCTACACCAAAGAGACTGCAAAGATTACTATTGCGAATGCAACAGTACAATGTAGAGATCTTCTACAAGCCGGGTAGAGAGATGTACCTAGCAGACACCCTGTCGCGAGCATACTTACCGAACTCCGAGCAATCGCCGACAGAGAAAGAAGTTGAAAGCATTCACATGCTTGAGGACATAGCGGTGTCGCAGAAGACGTTAGCGCTCATCAGGATTGAAACGCAACAGGATGAAAGCCTACAAGCGGTAAAGGGACTGATCCTTGAGGGGTGGCCCGAAGACAAGTCTCGTCTGCCACCTGGGACTTCTCCATACTTTGACATCCGTGATGAACTAACGTATGATGAGGTTATAATCTTCCGCGGACAGCGTTGTGTAATTCCTGTCAAAGTGAGACCTCGTGTGAAACAGCGACTTCATAGCGCACACACAGGAATACAGGCCACACTCGCAAGGGCCAGAGAATGTGTATTTTGGCCAGGGATGACAAGCGATCTTACAGACTATCTCTCACACTGTGAAGTCTGTGCAACCTTTGCTCCGAAGCAAAGAAGTGAACCTCTGATCAATCATGACTTGCCGAAACGTCCGTGGCAGAAACTCGGTATAGACTTATTCGAGTTGAACAACAAGAACTATGTTTGTGTTGTGGACTATTTCTCAGACTACTTTGAAGTTCTTCCTCTGCCACACAAGAAAGATACCAGAGCAGTCGTCAGGCGACTAAAGAGCATTTTCGCATGTCACGGTATCCCAGAAACCATTATGTCGGACAATGGTCCCCCATTTAACTCTCAAGATTTCGCGACCTTCATGCAGGAGTATGAGATTGAGCACATCACGAGTTCCCCATATTATCCCAAGAGCAATGGGAAAGCGGAGAGTGCCGTCAAGATTGCGAAGGGTCTCTTACGTAAGACAACTGAAGCTCAAGAAGATTTTCAGCTAGCTCTTCTAAATTTGCGTAACACACCCACAGCAGGACTTGATAGCTCGCCAGCTCAACGCCTGTATGGTCGTCGCACTCGCACTCTTGTACCAACCGCGTCCAAGCTTCTGATTCCACGCACACAAAATAGAGTTGTCGCAAAGAAAGCGGAAAAGCAGAAGAAGCAAAAACAGTACTACGATAAGAGCACGAAAGAGCTACCACCATTGAAACGCGGAGATATTGTTCGTGTTCAGCCGCAGTCTAACGCACAGAGTAAGCGATGGCACAAAGCGAGAGTAGAGAAACAAGTTGATTCCAGATCATATCTAGTCAGGTCAGAGAATGGCAATATAGTTCGACGAAACTGGAAGCACTTGCGCACATGTAGTAGCACATTCAGTGACCAGTCAGATATATTCTCCACGCCTACTAGCGTAACTCGCGAACAACCAGAGCCATCAACATCCGAAGCGACACAAATTCACCAGATCACGTAGCGAAGTCTCCTCGTCGCGAAGCAAATAATGATATTCGCGAACCCCAGCTCGCTGAAGAGACTCAAGAACCACCAAGATCAGCTCGCCGTAGTACCAGAGCTCGCCATCCACCAGCTCACATGGAAGATTTTGTTGTTTATCATTAAATAAACATTATGTGTAACTACTTTATATAGATGTAGACAGACAACTATATATTTGTTTCATTAAGAGAAAGTTAATTGTTTATACAGGAAATTCACCTGTTAATTAACAAGAAAGAAAGTTAGTATGTTGTTTATATTGATTGGTTGATGTTGTTTAGACAAATCAAAACAAAAGTATTTGATTTTGGATCTATTTGAAATTTGATGAAGATGATACATAATCTAAGCCAGTGTTCCAAAGGACTAATCGAGAGAAAACAGAATTTAAGCTCATATGTATTGTCTCAAAAGAACAACAAAACCACTCAAGTGTAATTATGCATCCATGCTGAAGTTGATTTATTATGATACTATTTCTATAAACACAGATATTTCCAGAGGATTTATAATTAGATTTATGTGTACTGACATGGGCATTCATACATGCATTTCAGGCCGACAAACTAATATACAGGTATTAACTTCTTAAAGAAGGAAGGATGTTATATATGGTTTAGAGTGGCAGTGCGCCCTCTTGTGTTAGGTACTGACTTGACAACCAGAATGAAGATTACTAGAATAAAGCACTAACCAGTTGAAGTTGTAAACTTTAAACAGACTTTATTGCCTATTATGTAGAGTCAAACAAAAGCATAAAACAGGTACCAATCTTCTTCTTCGGTTTTTCCGGTTGGTCTCTATCATATCTATACCATATACCATTTCATATACATGTACATGTGCCTAGTTAATATTCTTATCATTTAAAAGTAGTATTAGCTATGAAATATTCACATTACGATGGTTCTCTTTTAGGAGCAGCCTCATGGTGGCATGCTAGGAAATGGTGAGCTCTCATGATTTTGTTTTGCTCTAAACTTGTGTGTTCAAAGTATTTGGAATTATTTTTACCATAAGGCCTATACAAAAAAAGATGTTGTATTGCCCTTTAGATGCCAGAACCTGGGTCCGTCAGTCGAAAAATCTGTTTTTTAAAACTTTTTTTTCTTCCTCTAAACAGCGACCATCCCCCCCCCCCCCCCCAAAAAAAAAAAAAAAAAAAAAAAAAAAAAAAAACCGGGAACGTTGCCCGAATTTCGCCGGTTCTAGCTGGTGCAGTGCATGGTATACACACGTAACGAGGCCAGGTCTACTTTTTTACGCTAGCAGGGTTTTGAAACTAGGGCAGAAGACAAGTGACAATTTGGGAATAATTTGATGCTTTTATACATTTTTTATATCCCATTTAAACAAACAAAATACATATTTTGTTTTTCATTAAAAAACTAGATGGAACTTTGACTGCGCGCAGTCAAAAATGATGCCTCCGCCATAGAGCAATTTTACAAACCAAAACAGAAACAATTTTTAAATTCAAGTTTGATTGTAATCCATCTGTGGGTTTTAATGATAATGCATGCACAAGCTATTTTTGGCATACATAATGAGCCATGTGACCTTTGACCTTCGACCTGGTGACCCCAAAATCTAATCAGTTCATTGGCTCTGCAAGATACATACATGACTTGAGTTTGATAGTAATCTGTCTATTTGATCTCATGATAATGCGATCACAAGCTATTGTTGGATACATAAAGACCCCTGTGACCTTTGACCTGGTGACCCCAAAATCGAATCATTTCATTGGCTCTGCAAGATACATACATGACCTGAGTTTGGCAGGAATCCATCAATCAGTTCTTGAGATAATGCGATCACAAGCTATTTTGCATACATAATGAGCCCTGTGACCTTTGACCTTCGACCTTGTGACCCCAAAATCTAATCAGTTCATTGGCTCTGCAAGATACATCCATGACTTAAGTTTGGCAGGAATCCATCAATCAGTTCTTGAGATAACGCGATCACGAGCCATTTTCGCATACATAATGAGCCCTGTGACCTTTGACCTTGGATCTCGTGACCCCAAAATCTAATCAGTTCATTGGCTCTGTGAGATACATACATGACTCAAGTTTGGCAGGAATCCATAAATCGGTTCTTGAGATAACGCGATCACGAGCCATTTTCGCATAAATAATGAGCCCTGTGACCTTTGACCTTGGATCTCGTGACCCCAAAATCTAATCAGTTCATTGGCTCTGTGAGATACATACATGACCCAAGTTTGGCGGGAATCAACCAATCGGTTCTTGAGATAACGCGATCACGAGAACGGGACGTACGGACGTACGGACGGACGTACGTACGGACGGACGTACGGACGGACGGACAACCCAAAAACATAATGCCTCCGGCTACTTTGTAGCGGAGGCATAAAAAATTCTCTAAAAAACTGTAAAAGCGATGTTACTACAGCAACAATGATGACAGTCACTGTGCAAAGTACATGACAGCGTGGTGTTCACCATGATGCAAATTGATGCTTGCATGCTTTAGATGCTAAGTGATGTTTCAGTAACGTTTGGCTTGTACAGAATTAACGAAAATTCCCTCATGAAAATATTTGACAATCCATCAAGAAAAAGCCCTCACTGACCGAGGGAAACTCATTGACTTTATTTACGCTTCTGAAGTCATCAAATTAGTTAAAATAAATGACACAATAACTAATACTGTGTGTGTATCAGTGGCAAAGAGCTAAACAATATTTGAAATACAATGTTTTCATTTCTATACCTTTAGTGGCTTTGCTGGACACGATGGACTCTAGCCTAAGTCCAGTTAAACCTCACAAGAGATCACCCCCTGGTGGGGGGCATGGTGACGCCCCTTCTACCAACCGAGGGGGCTTCCTACAGTCTGGAGCTACAGGGCTAGGGCCTGCAGATACCAGAGGTAGGTACATGTAAATGCATGTGAATCGATGGGAGGAGGTGGTTTTATACTCCATCTACCATCCAAGGAGGCTTTTTATTTTCTAGTGCCACATTTGGCCATCCTAATTCCTATAATACCATCAAATATACAATTATACTGTGTTGGACTGTATATATATATATATATATATATATATATATATATATATATATATATACATATTTTTTTTTTTTTTTTTAAACTTGTATACATATCTCATGTATTTTCCTATTTATTAATGTATTTGCTGGAATTGAAATGAACATTTTTAATAAATATGAACAAAGTGAATTTAATCAACTATTATCAAGAACAAATTGGACATGTAGAACTAGTTTCCTATTAGAAGGATAGTTGAGGATTTCTGTCTTACACATGAAAAGGCACCTTTGACTAGTATGTACAGCAGGAGTGAAGTAGTTCCTGGATCCCAGAGAGAATATAAAGGGGTGTGATTAATAATAATAATAAAACAATTTCTATTTACTCACTTCTCAATTCCTCATTCTTTCCATACTTCTGCCTTTTCATTAGAATTAACACAACACAACATACCTTGCCTAATCACTGTGTCCTAGATATTCACTGGAATATCTTTCATCTCTTGTCACTCCTCCTGTATCATGCAGGTCTAAGTACAGGTGGCACGACAGGTGAACTAGAAGCCCTGCAAGCAATCCTGAGGGAGGCTGCAGCCACGCCCACCCTGCACCTAGGTGATGATATGGATCAATCATTCAACAGAGGAACCAAAGAACGCACTATAGAGGATATACTCAGGGAAGCCAATGAAGAAAGACATTTAAACAGTGATGGTGAGAGGAGCATGGTTCGGCCTTTACCATGATTACTCTTTCTCTAATAATAATGATAATAATGATATTTGTATAGAGCACATATCCACCACTCAAGGCACTCCGATATGACCCAGGCTCTTCTAAGCTACCGCCCTTGGTGGTCACAGCATTCAAGGTATTTCTTCCTACCGGTACCAATTTAACACCTGGATGGAAAATAGAAAATTTTGCTTAATGTAGAATGCAGACTGAAGGATCCTCTTCAAGTAATTTTTGAACTTAATTACTGCTTGTACATTGTGAAAAATTTGAGAAGAATATTATCAAAAGATATTTACATGTACTATAAAGTGTTGTAAAATCAGAATCTTTTGTGACATAATACTTTTGTGAATCGTACATTACAGTCATTTTCCTTGCCTAAAACTTTGCGAATTCCAAAATCCAGTATTGTGGCTGTTGTGATTCAATAGAGGACTGAAGCTGTGACACCATAACATTCCATTTTTTCAGAATTTCTCAATTTGTTCTTCATTTTCCAAAAGAACATCAAAAATAATGTCCAAATGTCAAAAACCAATTGAATATGTTAAGTATTGGCTGAGATATGACCATCTGAATAAATAGATTTCATATTGGAAATCAGTGTTATTTTTCTCTGGTTCATAACAATTCAATTTTTTTTTTATGACGTCAGACTTCTCACCACTCTATTGAACCTTTCATTAATTGAATCTATTCCTGAAAATCACAGAAGTTTATGCAAGCATCAGTCTTACATGACGATGATTTCCTTGATTGTTTGTTTACAGCTCAAGATGAGAGTAGAGGTTTCAGTCTAGAGCCTGCAAACTTTCCCTCCAATGAGGATCAGGGGCATAGAGGGTTCGATCTACAGCCAGCCAATCAGGAAGCAGGGATGATATCACATGACAGCGATGTGAGAGGTACAGACTCTGATGCGAGAGGGTATGCATTGAGTCCTGTCTCTGAAGGTCAGGAGTTCAGAGGATTCAATCTGCAGCCTGCCTCCCCTGTGCTGAGAGGCATGGACCTTCAGCCAGCTATTGTAAGTACTTCAACCCCCCCCCCCCCAAAAAAAAAAAAAAAAAAAAAAAAAAAAAAAGGTCACGTTTCCCCCAACTATTCTCTTTTTCCTTTTGAGATTCCAGTACTCTAGCATTAAGTTTTATGCATCCTATGATGCCCAGTTCTGGAGTTGCAACACTTATCACCAGCAAATTTAAATGTTGGACTGCATGCGTGAAAGAGAATTTTCTTCTATGTATTTTTTATTAAAGCAGTGTGATCTGAATATAGGCCTATTGAACTTATGAACAATTTAAAGGTATAATTCCAAAACTATATCAGATATAGATTGATGAACATTATACATGAAGTTGCACTGTCACTTATGTCCATATTTTCCCTCTCTCATTTTTTGCCTTGGATCATCACCTTCATGGGCAAGGGTGTGTAATTCATTAACTCCTTAACATCTTCTAAAATTATCCTTTTCTTTACTAGGAGGCAGACATAGATACTATCGATGGTACCCAACCCGTGCCCTCTCAGGCCCGGAAAACGATCTCCAAGAAGAAGAGTCCATCTAAACCTAGAGGGCGCTATTCCAACATCAGGAGCTCTGGCTACGGGTCGAAGCAGGCTGGTAAGAAGGCTGCTTGGTCACCTGCTGATGTAGGCAAGCAAAAGGTTAAAGGTGAGATTGTTTGTTTGTTTGGAGAAAAAAAATAATAATAAAAACGTTGCTTATAAAGAGCTTAGGGGAGCCTTCCAAAGTTGCGACTGTGCCGCAACGCGTCGGGGCCCAGAGCAGGATATGAGAACAAAGGAGGCGCCTTTTTGCGCCCATTTGCGCCTTTTTGCGTCGGATACGAGAGGACTTCAGTTGGTTTCCAGCTCATTAAAATCTGGCTATTGTTTGGAGTCTCATTGTTACGAAATTACCCCGCCGGGGCGCGCCCCGGTGAAGCACTCGACATTTGTGAATGGGAGCTTAAACTTTGAATAGTTTTCGCGCCCTTTCGCGCCCGGTCCGGCGCACTAGTTATTCATGTAGTGCCCGCTTGTGTGTCGCTCTCGTCTTGCGAGATTTGACTCTGAAAAGCATTACTTTGGCTACTGATTTGTTTTAATGTTATTGTACGTACATGACATTGGTTACAATGTTTGTTCTGATTGTTTATTTTACTCTCAACATCGGAGTTCTGTAGGCGTTTACGTTGGCATGATTGTTCATTATTTCATCTCCTCCTGTTCTGTTCATGATTGTGTTCAATATATCAATTTTAATACAAATTGATTTGTTCACGAACAAGACAACTTTATTTTATACTTACCCCACTCTCTCTGGCATTGTTTTCCTCGTGCATGTTTTGACACTTTATTTGTTTCATATTACATTAAAATTGTGTATATTTCCTCTAGCGATGTTATCGCATGTTTCGGTGTTCTTGTTTTGTTTTCTTTAATTTTCGTTGCATCTTGTAAACAGTTCTGTCGTATAATCATTATAAATCATATAATTATATCATCAGTCTGTTATTTCAATACATAGATCCTTTAAATCTTCTTAAAATTAGAGAACGTATTTTTTAAGTCCGTGATGTTGAAAATGATACTTAATCAAGAATGTCGTAAATTCTCCTTGAATTGGATTTAAAAAGCGTGTTATCTGTATTACGATTTTTTTTAATGCAAATGATATCCGTATTGTCGGGAACATCATCAATATGTTTCGTTAGAAGGAAGACGCTCATTTTCAGAATGTTCTTTCTTTGCAAAACACTAATGTTACGAACAAAATAAATTACACTGTACCCGTATCATCGGGGATATCGCAAAACTCCCAGGGAGATTATCAATTGCAAATCAACATAGTAAATTATGCCTAAATCGTAAGAATAGAGCATGTATTAAAAAGGAAGAGAGTTACCAGGAAATGATGTTTGAAATTTCACCTCGAACATATCTTAAGAAGAAATTAGTTTATCATTCTGTTCCAAAGAATTTTATCGAATATTTCTTCGCGAAGAAGGGGGGGGGGGGTTACATCTGCGGCCAGTTTTAGATCTAGGTCATTGTTGAGAAGAACTAAAATACGTATATATTGTGCTGAATTGGGGCCATGTGGTATCGAAAGAGCGTAGTGCGTTCTAGAACAAATACAAACTATGGCAATTCGTTGAATTGCTTCTCGTAACAGAACTGTCTTACTGTCTAAATAAGGATCCATCCGGGGGATCTATCATGCACGTCTTGGTATCAAGTAGTAAACGGAATTAATAATGATTGCGTTGTTTTGGGGCCATTTTTTTATTTTTTATTTATTTTTATTTTTATTTTTATTTTATTTAATTTTATTTATTTATTTTATTTTTTTTTTATTTATTTATTTATTATTATTATTATTTTTTTTTTTTTTTGGGGGGGGGGGGGGTTGGCTAGCCCTTATTCTTCTTCTACTGGGTCATCAAGAAACACAAATAGTGTTGAAATTTTCCGCAATCCTTTTAGCGCCGAGGGTAGAAAAGCCTATAGAAAAGTCAGCTGACAATAGCAATTTAATGATGGTCAAACAATCAGGGAGAAATACTGGGCAAACAGATATTAGCCCACGTCTTCAATATAACCAGGGAATCCCGATATAACTAAGCACGTGCTCACAATATGAATATCAAATCTGGCTATTGTTTGGAGACTCATTGTTACTGTCTGGTAAAGGGGTACTTTTCACGCACCAAAGTCCGGCTCGTCTAGTACACACAAATCCGGCCCGTATTGACTTTACACACCGGACTTAGGGGACTGTTTTCTAAAGGAGGGAAAATGCATATGCGTACCCTACATAACACTCATTAGGGGGGGGGGGGCGGTGCGCTTAATGGCGAAGCGCTTTTTGTGAATTGTGAATTTGTGAATGGGAGCTTAAAGAAAAGCTTTCGCGCCCGTTCATACGCATTAGTTATTCATGTAATCCCCGCGTGTGCGTCCGCTCTCGTCTTGAAAGATTTGACTCTAAAATTTTCACTTTGGCTACTGATATTTTTTTTTTTTTTTTTACGTACAAGACATTGATTTAGATTGTTGTTCTGATTGTTTATTTCCCTCCAATCAAAATAGGTCATATATCTATATCATCAATCTGTTCTTTCTCATGCAAGATCGATTTAAAGAATAGAAACGTAGGTTCTCTAAATCTTCGCAAAATTAGCTATTGTATTTCAAAACCCGTGACTTAAAAATGATACTTATAATCAAAGAGATTGAAAGATTCTGCTTGAAATAAGATTATAGGGCGTTTATAAATATGTCATACGAAACCAAAAAAAAACATCTGCAAAATAAAGATATTACAAAAATGATAGTCGTATTGTCGGGACCCTGCATCATCAAAACGTTTCGGTAGATGGAACAATTAGAAATCGCCTATCTGTTCCAAACATGAAATTCGATCGAATATTTCTTCGCGAAGAAACTGTATTGGTGGTGGCATTTGTAGTAACAATTTCTTGTTGTCAATTGTTCGTGACGTTTTTACGTTTTATATTTGTTAGCTAGCGCTAGTAAAGTATTTTGTTTTAACGCGCACTGTATATAGTTATAAGGCCTGAACACGTTATGTTCACATTGGGTGTTATATAGCATACGGATAATATAGTACATGTAACTTTTACAAGCACTTTGTTATTGCAACGCTATGACAAAAAATAGCTCTTTGAGCAGCTAATAGTTGTTGCGCCCATTGTTCCGCTCATAGGCGGCTATTCCAAATTACCGGGCATTATTTGTTATTGTATCATTAGTTAAGTTTATTAATCTATTAATGTTTTCTATTTATTTATTTAGTTCTGGGGAGGGGGATGTCGTATTTCGATTTCATGACCCTTATACATAATGACCATGTTCTCAAATTACGAATAGCGATCTTCATGAATAGTTGTCCAATGAATAGCGGTCCTTATAACTAGCGAGCGGAGCCCTCCTGATGGGCCTCTGCCATTTTGGTCCGGCCGTTCACTTCTCCGCCCCCCTCCCCTCCCTTACACACACACACACACACACACACACACACACACATAATACGCAGCCTTATTGTAGCTAAACAAGAATCTATAGCAAGTCGGACAATTATAGCGATCAAACAATAGCCTTGCTCGGCCGCGTGAAATCCTGCCACGGCATTCTATGTTTTTACCTTTAGAGCGAACTTTTCTTTTGTATTCGCTCCATAGAACTTTACTTTATCTTACAGCGAGGTGAAATGAAAAGAGCGTCATCATGAGTAGATCTTTTGTTTGATGTTATCCTTCTTCTCCCTAGTTAAGTCAAACCTTCAATTTAGGCCTATCCATAAAAGGTAGCTTCCTGTACCGTTCGCTTTTTTTTCTCCTGACTGCTATATGAAGCATTTGTATGCTCTGAATTAGGCATACAGGGGACCGGCGCGGTTTAAGACCTCTCCGAACGAAATGTAATGTTGGGTTATGCCTTACCATAGCATATCGACTTGGTTTCTAACCAGGGAGCTCCCGGTTACGAGCTGCTCTGCTCTACCACTGGGTTATAGCGCCTCCCTCCTTTTAAAAAGATCTTTTAAAATTTGCCGTTTTTTTTAGAATAAGAATAAAAACATGTTTGGTATGTTTTTGTATCTGTGCATTATGATTTCAAAATGTCACTTTCGCCACGTAATTATACAAATCTACAAATAAATGGTTCGAATGTTAGAGCAGAAATCAATGTTTGTATTTGTGTCTCTGCCCGTTTTGCGATCATTTAGTCCATATAGCTCAAAGTAGAAGTCGAATGATATATTATCACCATGAACTGATTAATGTTTTGTATTGCATTTCCAATTGCTGCTTAACTTTATCACCATCAGGCTACGCTTTTTGTTTACATCTTCATGATACACATGTTTTATAATCTCGATATAGTTCCCGGACTCTTTTTTTCTATTTATTCCACTTTTAAAAAGAGCTATGGAATTATTATGATTAAAAACGCCTTTTGGACGGGCAATTTTCGAAGGCAAATCTCGGGCGTGAAATCCTGCCACGGCATTATGATTTTTTCCTGAGGGCACTTAACAAAGAATACATTTTTAGCGTCCCCGCCGGCTTCCTTTTTGGGGCCGCCTCCTATTTCTTATCTTTGTGGAAATTAGTTTTAATTTTTTTTTTTATTTAATTTTTTTTATTTAAAAAAAAAAAACCATGAAAAACACTGCTAAAATGGATCTATTACTGATTTTTTTTTAAATAAAAAAAAATGTCGGCGGCCATATTGAAAAATAGCCCGACTGTCAGGGAAAATGTACCGAGCGGCCATTTTGAGCGGCCATTTTGAAAAAAAAAAAAAAAAAAGAGGACCTCCCCCTTCCTATTTTTCGAAAGAACAGGACGCTAATAAAATATTTTTTTACTTTTTATTTATTTTCTTTTGTATTCGCTCCGTAGAACTCTACTTTATCAAACAGCGAGGTGAAATGAAAAGAGCGTCATCTTGAGTAGATCGTTTGTTTGATGTTATTCTTCTTATCCCTAATGAGCAAACCTTCAATGTAATAGAACCAAGTCATGGGAGGAGAAAAAAAAAGATTTGACTGACAAAACATAAATTCTTCCAAGCTCAGGCTGTGGCGATGTGCAACGCGTAGCGTGAATATGAATGACGGGAGAGAAAGATAATTCCTTTGTCCATTATTAACGACGCTAGAATCATATCGCGATGTGGGAATTATACAAATATGTTGTTAATCATTCAAATTACAAACATACACAAGCGACCCAAACAGTAATCAATTTCCCGACTATAACCGCATACATGTAGTCATTCACATCATTCGTCTTTAAAATTTTTTTGTTGGGGACAATTAAGCTCGTAATTAAACAACCATTAATCGTACATAGTCATCTTTATTTCACATTTCATACAGTCGTCATAAAAATTAAAAGGAGGCGTATTAAACCCAACAAAAATAAATCATAATTTATTCTGATCAAGATGAACGAGTGTGTTGATTGCCCCCCAAACAAAGACGATCCCACCAGACAAGTTCATGCTGTGCTGTAGTAATGTACATCGCAAAGCTTCGCCAAAATGATTGGAAAGATAATACCCGCCCGTTACGACGCAAAACGGCGCGAGAAGAATACATCATTTTTTTTTTTTTACAAACAATGGAATGTTTATCTGAACGAAACCGGAGGAGGGGAAGACAGGCTTTGGCCGACAAATACTTCCTGTATATCAAGTTTAAGCTGTACCGCGCATCACGAGCGAGAACAATGACGGGAGAGATAATCTTCCATCGCCTGATGGGGCGCAAAAGGGCGCAAGAAGAATAGAGCGGGTTTATACCAACAATAGACGGTTTCTTTTCATATGCAAGAATCAGGTGAGGGTGACTATTGCGCCCCTTCGCGCCCCTTTGCGCCTCAATGCGTCTCTTGGGACGCGACTGTTCTATTCATTGCGCCCCGACGCGTCCGGGCACAGTCGCAACTTTGGAAGGCTCCCCTTACCAACGAAGTCTCTAAGTGCTATAACAAACAAAATAGACTGATAAAAAGTAACTTATTAAACAAAACAAAAAAGTGCAAATAAACCTACAAATTACAATACATATGAAATACACATCAATGTGAACAGTAAATTAATCATCAAAAGCAATATTGAATAAATGTGTCTTAAGAAATGGAAATGGCAGAGAAGGTCGAGGAGTGCTAGTGAGAAATATTGATCATAAGTATTTTTTCAAATTTTGTTTCATATGACAGGATATCCCATATGAACCATGTCATGTGTTTTTTATATCAAAGGTACATCAAGTCTTGTGCATGTATTCAGCACACGATTTACATGTTATGCTTTCATTTTTATTATCATTATTCAAACTAACATTTAATCACTTACACTAATTGCAATGTATTTAATCCAAAAAAAATGTTGTCACAATCGATAAGGTCAAAAGAATAATAACTAAACATGAAATGTATTAATGGATGAGAATTACACACATATCTGTATACATGTACCTGTTTTCTTATAAAAAAAACTGGATACAAATTTGATTGTACATGTATGTGTAATTCCAAATACATTCTTTATTTAGGTTCTGAGATCCCTACATTGAATGGAAGAGAGGATAAATCTCAAGGACATCTTCTAGCTTCTGTGGAATCTTTTGCCTCTTATCTTCATGATCAGTTTGCTGATGGGAGGAGAACCACTCCACCTCTAAAGGTTAGTGAAAAGCTGTACTACCCTGGACACAAGCAGTTTCAATTTTTCAAGCTCATTTTGATCAGTCCGTAGCACCTCAGTATATAAAGGGAGAAGTCATATATGTTTAATTTGAATTTTTTTGTCAAAGATATTCATTCACCCTGATCGCTTCCAAATGCATTATTAGCAAAGTTCCTAAGTCATATGATTGTGTGCAAGTATATTTTATAATACCACAGGGTTTAAATCTTGATAGTTCTAACATACATTCTCTGGGAAAGAATCTCTGAGGGAAAGAATTTCTCTTCGTGGAGGACCCTGTAATATTTAGAGAAGAGTTATGATGTTCTCATCTCTTTTTACAGCAATCAACGGATGAACCAATTCTCTCTGCCAGCATGAGAGAAGCCAAATTCCACACTCTTTCTCGTGAGAGGGCGCTAGTCGCTGAGGTGAACGAGTGGCAGCAGCAGTGGCAGGAGGAGCGACTTCTCAACGCCAAGATGAAGGCTGAGATAGGAGACCTACAGAAGGAGTACGAACGCAAGGAGACGGAACTGAGACTTGAACATGAAAAGGAGATGTTCAAACTGAAACAGGAGAATTTTGTGCTTGTTGCCAAAGTAAGAATTCACGATTGAAACCTGTGGCTGATATTAGAATCATATACTGTACATTATGTATTTTTATTTTTTATTCACTTTCTTATCAAAGAAATCTCTATTCAACCTCCTCCCTAATTCCATTAGTTTCCTATGCTGCCTTACTCATACATTATATGGTAACCTAACTTTGAAGAAAAAAAGTATATTTACATAGATGGCAAAGGGGGGTGAAAAAACTCTGTGATGGCTTTTGGTTTTATTTTCTGACGGTACAATGGAAGTTTATTCTGGTTTATAGTAAACAGCTGAAATAGGTATAATTTGATAAATTACACACCAGTGGCATCTAGATAAGAATGATAAACCTGTTCATCTGTGTTCTTCCTTGTAGCTGAATAGCCAGGATGACCAGGACAAGGTTCGTAGGAGAGAGCTGGTTTCAGGAAAGACACCAGAAGGAGTGAGTCAAGAAGAACAACTCAAATTGATGCAGAGAGAGATCATCCAACAAGAAACACTGCTCCAAGGATACCAACAGGTAATATCAAGGGTGTCATCCCTCTCTCATCGGTAGCTTTGATAGGCATTGTGTTATGGTTGCTCCTCCGTGGCGTGATCATAGTATTTATTGGAATATGTTATTACTGTTGAAGCTTTTCTCTCATCATAACTTTTCATTGTGTCTCATTGGCTGTCTTAATTGCTAGTGTCTAAGATGGTTTGATACCCTAAATTGAGGTATGTCTTGAAGTTTACAGACTCTTTAAATTGAAAATGTAGCATCCTGTTTTGTTAATAATAATTAATGCACAATACCAGTAAATAAGTCAAAGAGACATGATTCTTTAATCTGTAGACGCTCAATATTTGGAAGGTTTCTTTGTAGATTATGTATGGAAATGTAACTGCTACAGTCAAACCTACTTTAACAACAACCTGTATAGAAAGACCACCTGCCTACAAAGACCACATTTTTTGTTTCCCTTGAAAGTAGTTTCAAATTGAAACCTATACCAAAGGACCCGGTACATAAAAACGACCTGCTTTAATATAAAGACCACTTTTTGACTCCCTTGTGCAGTCTTCATATTCAGGTTTCACTGTATTATATCAAACAACCCATAAAAGAGGAATTATTCTTTGTTTTCTATGTTTGAGCAATAAATGGTGCACAGTTTAATACAAATAATGCAATACACTGTATCAACAATAAGAAATTGTGAATAACTGGCTGCAATCTAGAGCACTATCATGATATCCGTGGTTTTGTTTTCAGGAGAATGAACGTCTGTTTGGTGAGGTCAAGACGTTTCAGGCAGGCAACAAAGAGAACGAGGCAAGGATGTTCAAAGAGAACCAGAGACTACAAACAGAAGTTGGCAACTTGAGGTATGGAAGAACTTGTTGTTGCTTCAGTCACCTGTTTATAAAGACCTCTTGTTTTACCCTAATTGCTTCCCATGATCAACGTTTCTTGCTAACACTTTATATCTCTAGTTATTAGCCATGTGGCTGTACAGATTGATTATAATTTTGCTGTAAATGGTTATTACCCAGTCTAACCTGTTATAATGACCACCTGTATAAAAACACCTAAGGTCTATAAAGGTTGCTTATTTTGTATCCCCTGATCATCAATGGCTCTCCTTGAAACCTTAATGAAATGACCCTGGCTATAGAGACAACCCACATGTTAAGACTGCCGTTAGCATCTGCCTCAATAGGTCTGTACATACAGGTTTGACTCTATAGAATGACTGAACTTTCACAGATTACAAGAATGAAGCGCATGCTTCAAGTTGAAGCAAAGTAATTTGGATAGTGCTGTGGAAAGGAGGTGTCTATGCTGCGATGTAGAGGTGTTGTGATCAAGAGGTTGCATACTTGACTGGAGATGTGAAGGTCTTGAATGTGTCCAATCCCCAGCACATCATACCAAGGCATTACCGGGGTAATAATATATCTGTATAGCGCTTAGAGACATCATCGATGTATTTAGCGCCATACAAAAGCGGAATATAATTATAATTATCATTAAATTATTGCACTAAGCACTGATGTACTACAGTAGTATTGTTGTTGCTGTTGTTTTTTATGTTATTATTGTTGTTATTGTCGTGATTGTAGATGATTACTCTTGCTTTTATTTATTTATAGGGAGCTGATGGAGATGAAGGATAGAGCCCTGAGGAACAAAGGTATCATCACAGGTGATAGAATACAACAGGAGATAGCAGCAGGGAATACAGCTGTGTTAGGAGCGGGCAAGATAGCAGAATTACAGGCAGACGTCAAAGAACATGAGGTAAAAAATGAAGCTAAGCTAAGCGGTCACCGTGGCCCTAAGGATGTTGGCTCCACAAACATATTCAAACCATTTTTTCCTATCTTGAGCGATTCTTGTGAGAGAGAAGACCAGACAGCAAGAGAGATTCACCAAGAAGCTTGATTTAAAACCATACCTGTATTAGTATTATTCTCTTTATGATCAGGTCTCTGAAGCGTCTCTAAGAGCAGAAACAAGACGACTGACCCAAGAGAAGAAGGAACTAGATGATCACATTGAACAGCTTGTGAGAGAGAGAGAAGACCAGATAACAAGATTAAAAACCTTTATTTATCTATAATACTATAATTAATCTCTTTATGATCAGGTTTCTGAAGCATCTCTAAGAGCAGAATCAAGACGGCTGACCCAAGAAAAGAAGGAACTAGAGAATCACATTGAACAGCTTGTGAGAGAGAAGACCAGACAGCAAGAGAGACTCAGTACCATGAGAGATGGCAAACATATTGAGTTCAAGGTGAGATGCAGTCAGGGTTTCCTTTCAAAAGGGACAAGTCTTGTATATTTAAATACATTAAAAAAAATCCTCTAAAATCTACACAAGATATTAAACTAGTAGGATAAGGGAGAGCATACAGGGAAATGAACTTCACACCAAGACTTGCACTCAAGTCAAGTTTGAGAACATGTGTTCAAGTTGGTTTAGCCTATATTTAGAGCCTGTTTGAATTGCCCTAGTTCTTTCCAGAGGTAATACATGTATGTAGGCTGATGTTTTGAAGCTATTCAACTCGCATTGAACCCCAAAACATACAGAGCAATGTAAAAACATTTAAAATGCTTAGCCAGGACCGATAATTATTGTACAAATAATACACATCAGTGAGGGCATTAGTAAGAATTACCCACACGAGGTACCTTTGGAACAGTCTAACCTGCCTGTTTTGAAGGTACCAAGTGTGGGTAGTTTTACTAATGCACGAACAAAATGATGTGTATTATTTGTTTTTTAAGATTGTTTTATTTGTTTTATAAAATTATGTTTACTAATATGATTTTGATAATGACCGTTCATTAACATTGGATAATGACCGGTCATTACCCAAATTACGCCCGATTACGTGTTAGGCAAAATAAACGCATGGTCACGTGTACGCTTTCAACCAATCATTTGATTAGGATCCATGTCATCATCTTATAACAACTAAAAACCATATAATTTTCAGGACCTCCAGATGAAGTATGAGCGTGAGATGGAGTCCCTCCAGAAGAAGGTGCGATGGTATACAGAGAACCAAGAGCTCTTGGACAGGGATGCGGCAGCTCTTAAGATGAAAGATGATGAAATAGCAGAGCTCAAAGAACAACTCAAGAATGGTCCTAATAAGGTAGATCCAAATAGGCTTTGTTTGTGTGTAATCAATATACAGTCCCACTATTGTAGCACTTGCTTTGTTGGTATGAATTTCAAAGACTTATTTGAATATGAAAGTATAACAACAACAAGATTTACAGTAGGCTTATGGTTGCACCATTTGAGACAGGGGGGGGGGGGTGATTGGGGAGTCCTGAAAATGAATGTGAGTAATCTTTTTTTCTTGAGAATGTGTGTGTAGTCCTGAATAGGACTGGTGGTGATCATTCTTGAGCTTATGGTTCTAAAGACAACTATAGCGCCGGTTGGAGAGAATGGGTAATAGGAGTGGCTTGTCGTTTCGAACAGGTTGACTATCCGTTGTCAAGATTAATGAATGTTTCATCAATTATAGTGATTATGACAATATGATGGCAGTGTTGATAGTGATGGTGGTGATAGTATTGGTGATAATGCTGCTGATTCTAATACTGCTGGTAATGATGATGATGATGATCAATACATTTTAATAAACAATATATATTCTGTGATATCCTTTGTATTCTTACAGTTACCTTGAAATGTTATACTTGGACTAAATTTGAGGTTTTGCGTGTTTCTCACAATATAACGATTTAATTGTGCGTCTTCATATCTCAGCTAAACAGCAAGAGCATGGAGGCCAAGAGAAGAGCAAGAGAAAGAGCAGCTGATGCTAAGAAGATACAGGATCTAGAGAGACAGGTATGTCAGGACATGTTTGCTGATTACAGTCAGTTCTTTTAGCTGATTTTATCAGGGTGTATATGTAGGATTCAATGAAAGGAACATCCGATGTCATTTACTATGAATATCATTTTCATTGAAAGATTTAGCCATCTTCAAATTCTATATCTTTATCAACAAAATATGATAAGAGCTCAGAGTAAAGAGAAAACTTAGATAAGTTATGATTGTTGATAAAGTGGATAATGTTGTCTTTGTTGATATAAAAATACCAACATAGTGGGTATGAATCAGTGGTAGTAAAATTGAGCCCACCCTTGCTGATTTCTCATATTACTTTTGACTCTTGAATGGATGTTGGGACTGCAACTTCTTATACCTGCATAAGACATAATTTAAGCTAGGAAATATTTGATTCATGTCTAGGTCCGAGAAATGAACGACGTCATCAGAAGACGTCACCCCAACTCTCTGCCTGCCCTCATCTACGCTGCTGCCTCCACCTCGTCTCCACTCCCAGCTGATGTCAAAGGTCAGAGGTCAGCAGAAGGTCAGCCAAGGTCAATCACCTTTCTGGAGGATAAGGTCAAGAGGTTGGATAGGGAACTGGAAGGGAAGGAGGAGGAAAGTAAAAGAGGGCTCCGAGTGGTTGAGCAGAAGTACAATGCTATGAAGGTAAATTGACCATATGATTTAATTGCATCTGATGCATAATAACTTTGAAAACTTATGTGTACATAAGCACTGTATGTTGTGCAATCATGTAGCAAAGCTTTTTATTTGAAGTGCCTAAGTAATTGTCCTTATAACAATTTCCAAGTTGATTTTCACAGTAACATAACATTCAAATGGACTAATAAAACATTGATGTCATTGTAAGTCTGCAGATTAACAAGCATTGTTGGAAAAACCCTTGACTATAATACAATTCTCACCCTGGAGAGTAACCTCTGTGGGCTACACTGTACATGTTATTTGGGCTTGTATGTGTAGATGAAGTGTCTGTATCACAACAAGAAGTTCCAATATCTTTTCATCCCTCTCAACATTTTCATGAATCAGGTGAGATATGAAGACAGAATCAACTCTCTAGAATCACAAGTAGAGCAGTATGAGACTGGTAGACAACCCCAGTCACGTCCCCACACCAGTGTAACAGCACTGCAGAAGGAGCTGGATGGTGTCAGAGAAAGGAACAGGAACCAGCTCCAGGAAGTGGAGAAAGAGAACAAGGATCTGAGGAGGAGACTGGCTAAGGCTATATCATCAGCTATGAGTGGAGGAGATGGAGGTGGAAACGATGGACAGATAGGCAGAGGATTGAGTGAGAAGGAACTCCAAGGAAAGCTCTCACATTTGGCTTTGTAAGTTTGCATTTTCAATAGATTTCAAATATTGCCTATTTGTTAGAACTGTGGGATACAACCAAATTTGGATAATATCACTGTCTTGGGAAGAACTCTACCCCCCCCCCCCCCCCCCATGTTTACAAAAATATCTTGGTGAAAATAATTGCCCAAATCCATGTACATTGGATCTTTACAAATGTATGTAAACAAATGAATATATTAGTGTGTATTTTTACCTAATTTCAGTGCAGTATGTATACTCCATAGCTTACCCCTGTGTATAAGACTACTCTATCAGCCCTGTTGCACTTGAACCTTCATTACTTGAAAACATCACTCAAGCAAACTGAATTGTCTATTAATACATTGCATCTTTGTTTATGTGGAACCGGTGTTGCTGAGAAAATTCAAGGTTTTTGTCTCGCCTGCGTAGCAAAAAAGCTAGACATAGGCGCCGCTTTTCCAGTGACGGCGACGGCGGCAACGGCGGCGACGGCGTCAACGTCAAAAACTTAACCTAAGGTTAAGTTTTTGAATTTTTGATATAATTTTGAAAGTATAAGTTCTTAGTCAATGGAACTTGGACTATAGGGTTATCAAGTATCCCCAATCATGTGAGTAGAATTTCAGGTCACAAAGTCAAGGTCAAAGGTCATTTTAGGTCAACAAACTTTGACTTTGTTGTGGCATCAACATCAAGATTTTGAATTTTTTAGCATATTTTCAAAATTGATTGTTCAATTTCCATGAAACTTGTACCCAAGGGTTATCAAGTATCACAAATCATATGAGACAAATTCCAGGTCACAAGGTCAAAGGTCAGTAGACTTGGATTATGTTTTCACAACTTAATATGAGAATTAATAATTTTTTTTATTAATTTGTTCATATTTCATTCAAGTTATCGATAGTGGTACATTTACATGTGATAGTAAATAATTCTTCTGATGATTCTTAGTCAATATTCACTTCAAAATGTGATTATATTTAGAGGATTTCATTTTTGGGGCCTGCTAATGGGCCACCATGCCCATAAATAATGTCCCAACCTCAATTTTTCATCATATCGAATTACGTAATGCAGGCGAGACCGCCGAGAGCGTTTCCCTTGTTTCATTTCTCTTTCACACACTCAGCATTTATATTTAGTCGAAACCTTCAAACTTGCTCATAAAGTATAAGGATATATATATTTTTGCAGTACAACTGCTAATTGGTTTGTTATGTTGCTAAATCCTTTTAATTCTATCATTCCATGCAGAGAGCTTGGTGCTAAGGACAAGGAGCTGGAGCTACTGAAGGCTACTGTTGATAGGTTGATGGAAGAGAGATTCCATGCAATGAATGCAGCAGAGAGTAATAAAGGTACATCAAAATGCTGGACTGCTATTCATTTCAGGGCCCCATTTCACAAAACTTGTCATCAGTGACAAATGACAGTTGTTGTTAAAAGCTAGTGAAATCCTTGCTTCTGATTGGTTATCAGCAGATTTGTCACTGATTTTTGTCATTTGTCATTGAAAAAAGGGTTTGTGAAACAGAACTTTCTGGCAGAAGTATTCTAGTCAGTATTTTAGTCAGTTTGGGAATAAGATAAAATGAACTTTGGTATTCAGGTTCAGGTGCGTCTATCAGCTAATTACTTGTACTTAAGTTCAAGAAAGCTAGCGAGTGTACATAAGCACTAGCAGGGGGTGCATCATAAATAGATACAGTTGAGCTGTGCAAATGAGAGTGACAAGTAGAAATAATTCTGTTACTGCAGAAAATGATCATCATAATATACAAATAATAAATGGTTATGAGTTCAATAGTGCGAATATTTTCATGAGTTGAAAGATTAACATTCTATTCAACGAGACGTCAGCCGAGTTGAATAGAATTAACGTTAATCTTTCAACGAATAAAAATATTTACACTATTGAACGAATGAAAAACATTCAACATCAAAGAAGATCTAATAGAACGTTAATCAACAAATTATGCTTTACTCCTTATATTTATTGAAGTTGGAGTCAAGCCTTCTCGATTACATACATTCAGATTGCCTTTGCGTCAGATACACGCAGGGATACGCGCACGGCAGAGAGGTACGCAGTCTGCATATAACCAAAAATGCACTCTGCATATAACCAAAAATGCACGCCCGTGCAATATAACATCTATTGAATATCATGCGACCTACAATCCTCCAATCAAATGACAAGGATCCACGTAGGTGTTGTATAATGTAAAAATATGGCACCTGTAGAGATATTGGACGCCTATACAACAATGGCTATTGAATCCTACTCAAATTTTCCGCTTCTGCTTTCGTTTTTTTTTTTAATATAGCGCTTAAAGGCACACTGTCCTACTTGTAGCTACTTGCTCCCTCTATATAGAAAACTTCCCAAATCGGTGCCTGTTGGTCCCCTATGATCCTCTTTTTCTTATGTTAAATGAGAGCTGAGTTAATGAGATAGCCACCTGTCACATTGACCTCGATGGCTCACTGGGTGGCCAATCCTTTCTGGCTGAAGTATTAAAGCCTCCCTTTAATACATCTACAATGTCTCTACGATGTCTCTAAGCACTTTACAGATATACTGTTACCCCGGTCATTGGATTCAATACTTGCCCGCACACACTGTGTACTCAATCTTTGAATTATAGTTCTATTAGTTTCTAAGGAGCACATATGTATATGTTTTTGTGTCATTTCCTTCATGTTGAACTAACTTTTTACAAAATGTACTTCCTGGATTTAGGTAAGACCAAGAAGTTGAAGAGACAAGGGAGTAAATCAGAGTTGGGAGAGGAGCAGGGTGTAGAGACCAAGCCTTATGTACCAGGGAACTTCACAGGATCTCATATCTCAGATGTTCTAATGGAAAATGAGAGACTTAAACATCAGGTAGGGTTATTATTTGACCTGCAAAAACAGAAATGTAATTAGAATGCTGTTTATTTTTATATTTGATACTTCATATTATTCCTTCTGAAATTTTATCATGGATAATTAGATGCTAAAACAAAGGGTCAGGTTTTATGCTCTTTTAGCTAAAAGAACTACATGTAGTAACACGATCAGAACACTAATTATTTAAGGGGTAAGTGAAAATAGTGCTTCAGGTAACCCTCCCTTTCAAGAAAAATGTGTTCCTTGTACAAGCTTCTGACAAACATATAGTTCAGTTTTAAAAATTGTTTTTCTGCTCTTTTTTAATGTACAATGCATATTGATTTGGTACTCTTGGAGTGCACTTTCTTAAAGGGGAATAATTAATCCTTGGATATAAAACTATAGAGATTCTGACTTAATATGATTCATTGGCCTAAGTTTGGGCTAGCTCCATGAAACTAAACTATTCTCTCTACATTGCCTCTTTTTGTATATGTGTTCTAGCTTGATGATGTATCATTAGAGATGGATCAACATAGGTTGCGTCTCCATGCATCGCTGGCCGAGGCAGAGAGCGCCACCAGACAAGCCAGGGAGAAAGCAGCTGAGGAGATGGCCTTGATAAGATCACACCATCAGATGGAGGTTGAGAGGATGAAAGCTGAGAGAGCGATGGTGATGGGAGATTCTAAGATGGCGAGGCTCAATAGTCAGGTTGAGTCACACCAGGTGAGTGGTCTTGATGAATATGAGGGTCCTAGGACACCTACCCCCTGAACATCCATCCCCCGGATAACCACCCCCAGTCAACTACCCCCTAGGACAACTACCCGTTACGACAACCGTCCTCTAGGACAACTATCCTAGGGGGTAGTTGTCCGGTGGGTAGTTGTCCTGGGGGTAGTCATCCTAGAGGGTGGTTGCCCTAGGGGGTAGTTGTCCTAGGGGGTAGTTGACTAGGGGTGGTTATCCGGGGGTGGATGTCCAAAGGGGTAGGTGTCCGGATACGGAATATGAGATATGATAAAACAGGAAACCTTTGGACATTGAGAGAATGAAAGCTGAGAGAGCGATGTGATGGGAGATTCTAAGATGGTGAGGCTCAACAGTCAGGTTGAGACCCATCAGGTGAGTGGTCACAATAAATATGAGATACTATAAATCTGGAGACTTTTGTAACATAAGACTTTCACAGATTGTTACAGACTACCTCTTGCGGCAAGATGTTTTTTTCGAATCCTGATCACATCGATAACGATCTGTTTGGATCCAGAAGAGCCTAAAATCTGTGTTAAAGAATATGAGCTAATGCCCTGTTGGATCCAAAGAGACGAATGATTCGATTGACCTGTGTAAATCTTAAAGCCTGTCTGCACTAGTTTGGCCAGGAGGGATTAGACCTCCCTGTGTGGTCACTGAGAGGTGTTTATCTCATCACATCAGCTCTCAATTAACATAAGAAAAAGGGGACCATGGGGGACCATCGGATACTGCTTAGGAATTGTTTGCTATATAGAGGTCGCAAGTAGCTACAAGTAGTGCAGTCCCGCTTTAACCACTCCCATGTTCACCAACTTGCCGATGTGAAGGAGACATTCCCAATGTTGATTATGATTGGTTGGAACTTGGGTTACTCGATTAGCCCAACACCTGTTTACAGAATGATGCACCTGTTAATGTTCTCCTGCAGGTGATGGTAAGAGAGCTCCAAGACCAGCTGAGTGAAGCTCGTCTGGAGGTAGACCGTCTCCAGGGCTCCAGGGTGAGGGAGCGTGTGATGGAGACACAGGTGGAGCAACTCAGACAGGAGCTCAGAGAGGCCAAGGAGAACCACTCACCGGTAAGTTTGGGTTTAAATGGTATGCATCCATCAGAAAATGAAATGTAATTTGTGTATCATTATAAATGATAAAACCATCCCCCCCCCCCCCCCCAAGAAAAAAAAAAAAAAAAAATATTCAGATGGTTGTGGGTTAAGGAGCACTGGGGGGGGGGGGGAATTATGCTCCAAATTTTGATTTGAATCGTTTGTTTGTTTGTATCCATTTTGTTGTCTGTTCTTATTTCTCTTTCTATTCTCTTGCCTCTCTCTCTACTATGTGTATCTGTATGTCTGCCCTGCACCTATCTCTCTCTCTCTTCTATTTCTCACTTTGTTGAAACCATTTTCCCTTTCTCCCTCTCTTCCTTCTAAATCTCTAATAAAGTTGTCTTTCTATTTGTCCCTGTTTGTTTTCCTGTTAGACCCCTCTCTTTACCTGATTTGTTATGTCATATCATTCTACAGGAGATGAAGCATTTTGAAGCACTGCAAGCCAAGATAGGAGCACTTGAAAGCAGGTATGGTTGCATTACGTTTTGCCTAGATCAGTGATTGTGTTCTGTTGTGATAAAGGTGAGTTCTGGTCATCCAATTGCATTGTGAAAGAAAAGGTGTGGAATGGATCAGAAACAGTTGATCATGTAGCATATAAGTATTGGTGTGCACTGCTAGGTTCTGGAGTCATCAAAATCATAATGAATTTGGCCAAGTCTTGGTAAAGTAACAAGCACTGTACACAGAAATCTATATATGGGACAACACACATGGAGTCTGGGCTAGTAGTACCTTGATTTCCTTGTCTTTCTATGCTCATTACTCAGCCAGTATACATTTTCTTCCAAAATTGTTTGGCACATGTCATTTATTTGTAATCTTGAACATTCAGTGTAAGTTTCATTTGATTCTGTGAGAATTAATTTTGTAGTGATGTCATAATTGTTAATAGCACATCTGTGTATCCCAAAATGACTTGACTTTGTTGTTTCCACTTTTAATATAAATACTAATATACAAACCAAACAATGACGTTTAGAAAATGAATTTAACCCTCACTACTTAAAACATGAAGCGGATAAAGATATCAGATAATCAGATAATCAAGTTTATTCCATTCATCATAAAAAAAATTTAGATACAATAACATACAAAATCACAAGATACATAGTCAAAATAAACAAACATTACATAAGATAATAGTACAAAATAAGGTGATCTGGACAAAAACATAGCAAAAGTGAGTATTTATGTGAATGAGGAGGCAGCTAGAAAGGAAGGAAATGCCTTATTGGTGCTGCCACCTACAAAAAAAAACTGAAAATTTGAAATTAGGATAAAAAGAGAGTAAGAGTACAAGACCAAATTGAAGATTTACAGAATAACTACATTGTACAAGCATATTTACCCAAAAGAATAACAACAAACAAAAACTAACAACAAAAAAGATTTGTTTTTGTTTCTTACATTGACAGCAAACAAAACAACCAAACTAAACAAAACGACAAAACAATCAACAACAACAACAACAACAAAAAGAAACCTGATGAAACATTGCTAATATATCTACTGAGTAATAAAGTTCTTTTACAGATGACACTGTAATACAAGGATAAAAAAAAACTTTCATTCCAAGAAATATCCAAATTTGGTTAAAATCAACACAAAATATTTTTGCAGTATTCAATGATTTCCTGCCTTGAAAATAACTGCAAATCAGCAAAACTTCAAGAAGTGACCGGATAATTGTATCCCTTTTTTTTCTTTTCTTCCCAGACATACCCAACGTGACAAAGACCTGCATCACCTGGTAGAAAGAGCTACTCACAGCGCTACGGCAGAGAAGGACCACGAGATCTTGACTCTCAAAGGGCTCCTGGCATCCAAGAATATGGAGATCCAGAGGTTCCGGGTGGAGCTGGAGGCAATCCTAGAGGTTCTTAGGGAGCTTCAACGACAGGGAGTAGTTCTACCGTTGGACAGCCAGACGGTTCACTCCATTTATGACACGTATAGATGATGTGACTTGACCCAACCAGCTCAAAACCAGAATAAGGCAAAAGAAATCGAAGCTGATCATTCAAAGGCCTATGAGATAACATAACATCATCACATGAACATATCGTGTGTTCAGAGCCAGAAGGACATTAGCTCTGTGAACCGTCTGGCTGTCCAACGATAGAACTACTCCCTGTCGTTGACGCTCCCTATGGACACTCACATACAAATAACATATCATCTATGTGTGTTATAAATCGAGTGAACCATCTGGCTGTCCAACGGTAGAACTACGCCCTGTCGTTGACGCTCCCTTATAGACACTCACATACATATAATATACGGTATCATCTATGTGTGTCATAAATGGAGTGAACCGTCTGGCTGTCCAATGGTAGAACTATTCCCTGTCATACAAATAACATATCATCTATGTGTGTCATAAATCAAGTGAACCGTCTGGCTGTCCAACGGTAGAACTACTCCCTGTCATTGACGCTCCCTATGGACACTCACATACAAATAACATATCATCTATGTGTGTCATAAATCGAGTGAACCGTCTGGCTGTCCAACGGTAGAACTACTCCCTGTCGTTGACGCTCCCTATGGACACTCACATACATATAACATATCATCTATACGTGTCATAAATCGAGTGAACCGTCTGGCTGTCCAACGGTAGAACTACTCCCTGTCATTGACGCTCCCTATGGACACTCACATACAAATAACATATCATCTATGTGTGTCATAAATCGAGTGAACCGTCTGGCTGTCCAACGGTAGAACTACTCCCTGTCATTGACGCTCCCTATGGACACTCACATACAAATAACATATCATCTATGTGTGTCATAAATGGAGTGAACCGTCTGGCTGTCCAACGGTAGAACTACTCCTGTCGTTGACGCTCCCTATGGACACTCACATACAAATAACATATCATCTATGTGTGTCATAAATCGAGTGAACCGTCTGGCTGTCCAACGGTAGAACTACTCCCTGTCATTGACGCTCCCTATGGACACTCACATACAAATAACATATCATCTATGTGTGTCATAAATGGAGTGAACCGTCTGGCTGTCCAACGGTAGAACTACTCCTGTCGTTGACGCTCCCTATGGACACTCACATACAAATAACATATCATCTATGTGTGTCATAAATCGAGTGAACCGTCTGGCTGTCCAACGGTAGAACTACTCCCTGTCATTGACGCTCCCTATGGACACTCACATACATATAACATATCATCTATACGTGTCATAAATCGAGTGAACCGTCTGGCTGTCCAACGGTAGAACTACTCCCTGTCTTTGACGCTCCCTATGGACACTCACATACAAATAACATATCATCTATACGTGTTATAAATCGAGTGAACCGTCTGGCTGTCCAACGGTAGAACTACTCCCTGTCGTTGGTGCTCCCTATGGACACTCACATACAAATAACATATCATCTATACGTGTCATAAATGGAGTGAACCGTCTGGCTGTCCAACAGTAGAACTGCTCCCTGTCGTTGACGCTCACTCACATACGATTAACATATCATAGTCACATATTTTCTTTACAAAAATAGTCTCCACACAACTGAACGAATCCAATCAGATAAAAGTAAGGTATCAATCGTCACAAATTGTCAATATGCAAGAGCTGTCTAATTAAATTAATGATGATGAATATGAGAACATATCACATTACTTTACTTGTGAAAATTGCATATGATGAAATTATGAGGCATTGCTGTATGTAAGTACATCATGTTTTTCTTACAATCCATTGCATGTGGAACTAAGCCTAACACCTTGAACTTAAATCAGATACACATGTCTTCTATTCAACCGCTGCAATCTTACTCTGTAACCAAACCGCTGTCTTGTAAATAGATCTGTTTTTTCTTTTCTTGATTTTTTCAATACTAAGTGCAATTATTGTAAATACAGGTACATTTTAATGATTTATTTATTTGTAAAATTTGAAGTTCAGGATTAACATTGCCTCTTGCATTTGTGTTTGTAAATAAAATCCCTATTTCATGGTTAACATTGCCTAACTGTCTTTCCGTATTCATTATGTCGAGTATGCATTTTCTGGAGTTACATCAAATATTGAGTGTTTGTAAAAGTGAAAACAAATTATGTGGAAGAATAACTAGAACAGAGAGGAAATCATCTTTAACAATATGACTTTTAAAGTCTAAATAGGGTACAAATTTACAAACTGCTAAATTACAAATTTGTTTACAAATTTAGTTTTGTTTCATAGACTGTTCCTATGCTTGTGTACATTTCTCTCCATTTAGTCATTTTACTTTTTATACAAACATTTATGAAGTATTAGGGGGAAATTTAGTGATAATGTACTACTTCTCTATTTACTTTTCAAAATAAGTTCAAGAATGTTTCTTTCACAATTGCCAGCACTCATGATGCTTCCTTTCCATTTACTCTCTCTCTCTCTCTCTCTCTCTCTCTCCCCCCTTCCCTCTCTCTCTCTCTCTCTCTCTCTCTCTCCCATCTCTCTATTTATCTATCTAGGTCTCTATTACATCCCATCTCACTCTTCCAATTTTTTCCCCTTCGTCTTTCTTTCTCATTTCTATCTCTCCACCTCTCTCCCTCTCTTTATATCCCTGTCCCTCCCTCTCACTCTCTTTAACTAAGCACCTATCTATTGATTCTCTACAAACCAAAATAGAGAGAGATTGCTTTCAGATGGTGGGATGGGGGTGGGGGATGACACATTACAGTAAGAAGAAGAAAAAAGAGGCGGAGAGAGAGAGAGAGTAAAAATCTGAAATGAGAGGGAGAGGGAGAAATTATTTAATGTAGAATCTGATATGAAGTGGGACTTTAATAGTGAGTAAGTAAAAGAGAACAAGTGATGGTGGTGGTGGTGGTGGTGGTGATAGAGATGCATAGATTGGTTAGCAGAATAGAGCAATAATTACAGGGAGAGAGAGAGAGAGAGAGAGAGAGAGAAGGGGGGGGGGGGGTAATTGATGAACCTATAATGCAAGACGTCTGTAGAGGATGTATGCTCGTATTGAAATTGAATGGATGGAGACAGGAGCCTGGTGTAAAATTTTGATACATCTTTATAACAACGGTCCATGTAAAAGAACTTGCAAACAACAACAAAAAAGAAACAATCGAAATATCATGCTGCAAACGTACAAGTATAAAACAAACCACATAACATACTGACAGCGCTTAAGCTTCATAAGGTTACATATACATGTATATATACCGGTAAGGTTCTTGAAGGCGTAACGTTCATTTTGATTTGAAAACGAACAGAAGTAAAACTTAGTTAAACTTAAACATCTGAACCAATATTAATTCCTAATAATTCCCTGTTTTACAATCCCAAACAGCTGAATAGTGAGTGGTATGAGATCAGAAATGATTTCAGATCACTTTCCATATATCTGTCTCCTCTCAATCATAGTAAATAATGTGCAATTGTTTGTTATCAATGATTTTCCAATACAGTATGAACATTATCAATTTCTCGCAAATAAATTCAGTGTATTGGATAATACTTTATGTACAAGAAATATGTCACAGTGTACTGCAGATGGACATTTGTTATGAAGTTTAGTATTGAATTGATATCGCTTACGTTCAACGTCACATTCAATAGTCCATATAATGACTGCTATGTCGCCCTGTCATACTTTATACTGCAACGCCGAACTCGTGTATTGGATTATTGCAATATATTGTTCACATTAGTCTTATAAACAGACGAAGTACCTGCTTTTAAAAGCGAATTTCAATTTTAGGTTTTGTTATTCTAATGCACAAAAATTAAATTTTAAGACAACGACAACTGTATTTTTCGATAGGACTAACCACGTTCACTGTAGAGTCAATAGTTTGTGACATAACCACGATGTAAAGGATTAATGTAAATTATGATAAAACAAACTTGAATATAATCAACATAACATTTCATAACGATCGGTATTTGTTTATATAATGAAACACTTCAGTCAGAATTAAAGCAATCGTAGGGCTTCAAATCATAACAAAACACAATCGCAACTAATTTCGAAAAATAGTCCTTCGGGCAATTTAATTGCCCTTGTACGTCTCATTTTGAAATTTACGACCATTACAATGATATATTACGTAATCGGAACATGAATTCTATGGGAAATTCATTAGCGTATCGAAATTGTCCCTCGGTTGATTTCTCGAAAGTAGTTACGATCGTTTTACAAACACACAACAACAAACATATTACCGTCTACTTCGAACCAGAATGGCTTAACTCACAAGAGAGCTAACGACCTTCTGATTCTCTGCGAGCGAGTCATCGTAAGCAAGGTATTAATGCTACCCAGCGTAAGAATATACGCCCATCTCACTGTATATAATGAGATTTATTTGATTTTTTCATGAATAAGAATTTGTACATTTACAACCTTATGATACAAATAGCAATAAGATGAATATAAGTTCTTTGCTGATAATAAAATAGTTTGTACAAGATAATAAGAATAAAAGCTTGCACCGGGCAAGTTGCGTGATTCAAATAAACAATATATAATACAGACCACATCTACTCTGCATAGTCACCTACAACAAATAATCCCTCCCTCAAATGAAGGATTCATTCACGTTTAGTCTTTCTGTTTAAAGCTACCTATCTTTATCATCGTGCATCAGAAAGACAAAAAGACAAAACTGAACTAATGAAAGTCTAATATGATGCATTTCGATCCTGAAAATCCACAGGAAAGAGAACACATCAAGCCATTTAAAATAAATCAAATAAGTTCTTTAAAAAACATCTCGAATTCGCAAACTCAGTAGTCATCCGTCTACATCAGATCATCTATGCACAAGATTAAGAGTAGCACAATGCAATGTTTTAGAGATTATTTAGTAATCACAATGGTTACATTATAACGATGCACAATGAATACTAACTGAGAATATAAATATTCGCTGAACTTCACATAATATGATTATTTTCGTTCCTTCTTTCTTATTACGGCGTACATACGTATCGAGACGATAAATTCTTGCATAAATTACACACATTCCTTTTTTGTACAAGTTGCTTTTTGGTATGGTAGATGTCCATACTATACAATGGAAGACAGGCCTTCTGTACAAGCGGTAACCATGGATACTACACTACATCATTAATTTTATCATAGAACTATGACAATGATCAGTATCAAAAAAATGAATCTCTTGTCCAATTATTGTCGTTTTCGTCATCATCTTGAAGGACGTCCGTTTGGGGGTACCGCCATTGTATTCGAATACATGTTGGTCGTTATGTCGAAATATAGTTTTCTTCTATACACATTTTATTGCTGACATAATAAAAAAAAAATGTATTTTAACAACTTTACTTTTAACAAATTGAAATTGAAATTGACATGAGTGTACAGAAATAAAGTTGTTAGCATGGCAAACTACCTCTCACAATTATTGATGATGCTGATGCATTTAAACATTTCATAATTTTGCTCTTCAGCATAAAGAAACATTTAGAAAAACTTTCGACAAACTTATATCAAAGAATTGGTGGACATTGCATTTAAAATAGGTAGAGGCAGTGGCGGATCCAGGGGGGGGCCCGGGGGGCCCGGGCCCCCCCCCCCTTGAGAAAAAAATCATGTAAAATCACGTGATTTTTACCTTTTTTGGGGGTTGGGCCCCCCCCCCCCCCCCTGGCGCTCAAGGGGGGGGGGGTGCAAATTGAATTTTTTTTTGAGGATCAAAAAAAACGGGGCCCTGTATTTTATGGACAGCGTTTCACGAAACCGTCTCAAGTACAAGTCCGACGACAACCCATAGAAACGCGTGTATTGCAATTAACACATGTTCGAATAGGATGTCGACTAAACTTGTACTTTCGATGGTTTCGTGTAGGTTTCCCTTTGCCTCCCTAACAGATCACAGTAATGAATTTATATTGTCATCGGAAATTTTAATTATCATAATACGGTGGTAGATCCACGAGATAGATCCACGAGCATAATTATGCACCAGCCTAAATATCGAATCAAATATTATCTTTAATACAAAGTTATTCAATTTATCTGTAAATGTATGGATATATTAAAACTATTCCATATACCCTATACTACTTCTGATTTACCTTGGACATTGATAGACTAGCAGGAATGGCAGTCTCTTATTAACATTATACAATTTATAACCATTCTCTTAGTGATATTGGCTGTATTTTTTTAAGAGTTCCATGTTAAATAAAAAAAATTATTCACTCTTCCCCTTCCACAATTGGAAGTTACACTTTGGCTCGTGTAAGGTGTAATAATAATAATGTACGTACATTTATATAGCGCATTTTTAATATACATGCTCAAATGCGCTTTTCAGTTATATTTTTAAGAGAAGAGGTGAGCTTTAAGATAATTTCTGAAGGTATTGACAGTATTGTTTTGTTGTCCTAGTAATGCTTCTCAAAACGCCTTGGAAACCAAGTTGACTGGCAGACCATCTTGCAAGGCTTTTGGTGAACAAAGGTGATGTAAAAGCATAGCAGGAGTTGCTGCCTGCAGAATCTTTGCAAACAACCTCTAACAGCTTAACGGGTGTATCTGCCGTGCCTCAGCGTTCTGTATCTACCTGCTTTACAGTGCAAGTATCGTCGTTCGTCTCTTTAGTTAGCCATCTCAATAAGGAACACAATTCTATCAAGGTTGTATCGTCTTCATCTCGCATCTGTATTACGCATGTACATGTCAATCATTTCTCTTCCACAAGAAAAGGTTGGTCACCATCAAAATTCAGAAACCAACACTTCTTGCTCCAGATATCAAAAATAGTTTTGCTCCTTTCTAGGTTATTATGCAGAATTCAGAAGACAAGTTGAACTCTTGCATTTACAACCATGTCACGTCCCGTTTAGCTACATCGCCGGCTATTATTGCAATTTACTGCAACTTTGCTCCTAACAAAATCTGAAAGATCATTGGAGGAAGTTTTCAATCTCTAATGTAAAACGCATCAAATTTCAGCCGCATCCGGACAGCAGCTGACCATCGAGTTCATCTTCCAGCCTCTGTTTGCGTCTTCAAAGCATCCATGCTCAAACTGTGAAATTAACTTCTCCTTCCAACAAGTAAATTCTTCTAAAACCGCTCGAAATCGAACTGAGCTAAATAGTTTTGCTCTCTGCTGTAATAAATAGAGTAGCATTTAAAATAACAATGTATACAATGTTTTGTTCTATATGAGCTCTTTACGTCATGCTAGTGGTTCCACCATCTGCATAGACTGCCGACCGTTGATGTTAGGAGGGTACGTAGTGGTAGGGATGTATTTATGTTCTATTACTGGCTTGCTATTCCGTCGCTTGTTGTTGCAGCGAAACGCGAATCGGAGTTCCGACATCATTTCGCCGCATAGCGATTTCTGAAAAATGGCAAACAAAAAGGAGATTACATTCAGTAGTGCTATTATAATTTTTTGGTTTAATAACTTACTAACAAAATGTAACCAACACTGCATTGACCTAAACAGATTACCATAAACAAGAGGGGGGGGGGGGGGGCTGTCATTCAAAATATTGAAAATATCGGAGCAGTCATCATCTCATATTTGGACAGCGCAATAGTATAAGTTTAATAAACCCAGAATAATAGTCGCTGGAGCATATATATCATTATTCAAGAAAATTAAGTCGGATCATAAAAACGGTATTCAGGCTACTGAGCCTTCTTCTGGGGTAAATGGGAGGGGCTACATGAACCTACCCTGTCAATCATAGCATTCTGTCTTGATTTCCAGATGAACTCTGCGAAGGCTGCTATAAGACCACACACCAGACCCGTGATAAGGACCAGGAAGATCCCTCCAATGTTCTTCAGACCCAGTGAGTTAGCTTCATCACTCTGACCTGTACTCTTATGACATTGGTCTGTTCTCCACCACTTAGTCTTTAACTCCAGGAGCACATCATCCTCCTGAAGCTGTAGGATCACCTTGGTGATCTCGTCTCGGTAAACCGAACCTGAGGCAGAAATTAATAAATTTATCATCAGCTTTCGTTTTAACACGATCGCGAAACTTTTTTTTTAATCACCCTATAAAACTAATTTCAATGAACATTTGTATAACCTACAGAAATATGCGATCATGGCTATGACATTACGTAAACCGATTATTTTTGCTATAGGAAATACAGGTATTTAAATCATAGAATTGATTTATCGAATGCCTTTGCGATTATATTATTTCTTCCGTTCCAATATAATCATAATTATTAGCGATACATTAAGAAAAAAAATTGTATCAATCAAAGTTTATAAATTGGAAAGCATACTCTTCAGCTAATTGTGGAATCGCTTCAACCAATAAAAGAACCTTACATTTTTAGTTCCGAATATTTTTTTAAAAGTTATCTTACCAAGTGGAGTTCCGATGCCGTAACCTCTTGAGTTGAGCAGCCCTCCAATAGCCGTCAGGTTATTACAATGCTGTGAGATGACGTAATCAGCCATAGCAGACTCCATCAGATAGGCATACTTTCTGTTGTTGAGTACCTGCTGTATCCCGTCATTATACGTGTTTGTAAACACGTGCTGTCGGGAGCTCATGAATTCCCACATCTTCATATAGGTTGGGATCTTAGATCTCTGTGAAGCAAAGCGTAGCAGGTGTAAGGATAATGAATATGATATGTGCATACAAGTTTAAATGATCTCTTGACAAATTATAATGGGCAACTGCTAGAGACTTTGGTGGTGCTCAATTATTATTACCCGGGTTTAGGCATGGGTGTCAGTATGGCGATCTAGCATTTAAGGGAAGTTCCTGCCAGGTACCACTTTACCTCACCTGGGTCGAGTGTGGCACATGTATATTAATGTCTTTCCAAAGGACATTAGTGCCGCAGTGGTACTCGAACAGCGAACCATGTGATTCACAGTCCAGTGACATATCCACTTTAACACGACACCCCCTCGACACCTTTTCCATCTCTTATTTGAAAGATACTCTAGCAATTTCAAAACATCAGTGTCTTATGATTCGGTAACCATTCACTAAATTCTGACATAGTTAAGTGGTACTTGCAAATATTGTTATCAAGTTTAACACTCTCTTATCAATTCATCGCGTCATCTATCACCAGTTATCCTACTTACCGAGAAAAATTCTTCTGTTGATCCTCCTTTCCTGGTGCCATACTCAATGGATGTTTGCTTTGCTAGATCATCAGCCGTCTGGATAGGAGACACCATCCTCTCGACCGTCAGGAAAGCAGCGAGGTTAGCAGTATAGGAGGAGATCAAGATGAGAGAGAAGAACCACCAGAAACCACTCAAAACCCTGGTGGAGAACGCTCTAGGGTTGATTTCAGAACCTTGCTGCATGAGTCCACCGAACGAGAACCAGAGGCAGTTAAAGAAGTTGAACTGATTCTCGACTGTGTCGTAGTCTGGGTTGCATGGGTGCGAGTTGTACCACTCGTAAGGGCTGAATCGCGCCAGGACGAAGAGGACGAAACTGACCAAGAGAAATGCGAGGATGACATAGAGCCAGACATCTGGAGACAGCGGGTTGAGGAAGGAGAAGACGCCAGGGTTCTGGGGTTCAGGAACTCGGAAGAGGATGGTCACACCCAGGTACATCCAGGGTTTGGAGAAGTCAATCACCTTCTCACGGGCGTAGCTGATTGTGAGAGGAGCTGCTGCTAGGTCGGCTCTCTGTAAAGAAAAGGAGGGAGGTTGTATAAGAATTCAATGAGAAAATTGAAATCAAGATTATTTACAAGGGTGTCGATCCCTTAATTTTCGACCCCCACACGGACTTAAATGTGAATCACTATGAATATAGCGCATGTTTCCGAACACTCCTTTTGCAATATTAAATTCATTTCAAGGAAAAACGTGTTTTGCTTTTTGGGGATAAGATTACAGGATATCAAACTAAGTGAAGGCTTTTCAAAAGTTCAAGAACATTTAGGTATACAATAACTCCAAAAGCCTCATCCCACATTCAGAATGAATGAGAGCTAAATAGCCAAAATAAAGTCCCATTGACCACGGGTAGCCTCATCAGTATTTTAATACCGTTCTTCCAGAGGGCCATGAAAAGAAATACGGGTAAATATTCATGATAGATAATACGAAAAATGTATTTTATCTCACCCTTTCGACCAGCTCCCCAACCATGCCGTTCCATTGCCCCTCTGAGATCTCGGAGCCATAGTCTCCATCAGGTACCAGCTTGATGATGTAGTTGAAGGACATATACCTTGAGATATGATCGAGTAGATCAATGATGAAACCTTCAAAGCGAGCATTACCCTCCAGCAGTTCACCGTCAGGACTCTTCCGCCTCATACAGTACGGGGGTTCCTGTAAACAAGCGATCAGGGAGACAAAATAGAAGTGGGAAAGATCCATTAGGTTCAACGAATTTGCAGTTAAAAAAATGTTTATAATGTTATACCAATCACATTACTTGTATATCTTAGTATGCCATTAATTGTAATGCCAAATCAGACCTACACGTAGGTGTTCGACAATTGATTTGTTTTCTCTCAATAAATTCTTCCATATAAATATTACTGATTGCCTAAATATAATATCAATTTTACTGTAAATACAGAGGCTAACCTACGATGTCATGTGTACAGTGAAGAAGCTTATTACACGACGCATATCGAGCACGTAGTGGGGGCACGTAACCCCATCAAATGGGCAACAGAAAAAAATTACGAGAGATGGGGGAGGGGAGATGAGATGATACCACCGTGTCGTAAACCTAATCAACAATATCGTTATTTCGCATTTCATACATCGATTAAGACCGGATATTAAGACCCCCCCCCCTAATGAACCAGGTGCCCCTCAATGTCTGGATTTACGCTACGCCTCTTGATGTAAACGAGCTTTCCTTACCAATATGGTCGTGATGATAAGGGTCTTATTGTTGAACGTAGAATTCTTATCGGTGTGCATTTCAACAGGGAAGATATTCAGTCCGTTTTCATCCCATTCACCAACCTAGTTCAAGGAGAGCAGAGAAAGAAAACAAAATCAAGAAGTGTTTATGCGATGAAACAAACTCATAAATCATAAAGTCTACTAAAGAGATAGATACTTTGATAATAGCCGTTTTATATCGCTTACTTTTATATCGTAATTCTTTGCTGAGAAAAGATACTTATTGGTTCTAAAATGATAATGTTGATTTTATGAGCTTTTATACGATTAACGGAATGTACAGGTGTATATCAACAAAAACATTTTGGTAGTCTCTTAGACCACGAATATATTGGTACAACGCTTGGAAACTTAGTGTAAGGCGCTATATAAATGTAAAAAATATTAATAATATTATTGTTATTATTATCATTATTATCATTATCATCATTATTACTATTATTATTGACATTATAATATTATTGTTATTGTTTTTGCTATTATCATTATTATGATAATAATTATCATTATTCTTATTATTATTATAATAATCAGTATGATAATTATTATTATTGTTATCATTATTATTATTGTTATTATTATGATTATCACTATTATTTCTATTATTACCATTATCATCATGCTAATCATAAATTTCTACAGAATATGTCTGAGTTTACTACTTTAGTTATCTATTCTTCGTAATTTGTGTTAACTTTCTTTATTCTCTACATCTGACAATATAAGAACTTCAGTAGTCATAATACTGCAGAAACCAACCAAATTTAAAAACATGAACAGTTTCTTACCGTTTTGAATCCTACTTGCTCCATGAGTTCTGAGATGAAGAATCTGGGGTTTTCCCTTTCTCCATTCCTGTCAAACGTGATGGGTCCTGTGAGACCGTTGATGCTGGTCTGCAATGAAATGAATACATAAAGAGGAAGTATTATAGAACGCGAGACAGACTTGTTAATATGTCATTAATGAAATGAATTAGCAAAGGCAGACAACGATAGAGAGCGAGAGAGATTCGTGAGCGTTGGTCTGTAATACAAAGAAGAAAAAAGTATATAGCGAGACAATTTAAAGAGAGAGCGAGGTTCTTGAACGGACAAGAATTTTGCCTGCAAATCATATATATTAATAAATACACAACCTTGTAGATAGTGTTCTAAATCTTCAAAGTGGTAACATTAAATCACTGAGGATGATCAAATGTTCACGCGATCAATGTTGATATAAAATAAAGTAAATTTTAGGCTTTACCGATTGCAGAAAATTGTAGAAGGTGAGTCCATCGTTCCATTCAGCTTGCTCTCCGAAGCAACTGAGCGACCTCAACGAAATATTCCGAGTACTTCCGAGAGCCTCCAAGCCATTGGCGACCACACTAACAGCATCATAGAGCAAGGCAGCTTCCGTCTAAATGAAAAATAAAAATAAAATATTTGATGAATAGATAATCATTCATAGAGCATATAAATACGGTTCTTGGTGATTATAAAATACCACGACTTGTATTAAATACTCTTCCTCCGCAATTGTGTCTATGATCATGAAATCAATCAATCATTCAATTAATCACCTACACGTACCAATAACTCAATTAAAATATCATCTATCTAGTTTATTTATCTATCGGCCAATCTAATTAGTATCTATCTATCTATTCATGTATACATTGTTCATCTATTTCTCTCTCTCTCTCTCTCTCTCTCTCTCTCTCTCTCTCTCTCTCTCTATTTCTCTCTATCTATCTATATATCAGTCAATAAATCAGTCACATCAACTTGAAATTGAACTTGAAATCAGTAAACTCTATGGATGAGCCAGTCACTCAATCAGTCAACCAACCAATCAATCAATAATCAATCAACCGATTACTCACTCATTCACTCACTCACTCACTCAATCAATCAATCAAAATATCATCTCCTCCCTACATACCGTGAGGATACTGAAGTTCCTTGTTGTCATGGTAACACTCCTAGGTCCTATCTGCATGGCGTTCCATTCTGCCATAAAAGCCTCAACAAGCTGATCATAGAGGTTGAGCATATGCAGGGTAGTCAGGTTCACCTTGTCACCAGTGTACCGGGACATGTTCAGCAGGTAAAGATCCTGTTTGATAACGAAAAAACAAACACAAGAGGGTTATATAAGTTATTCTCAAAAAGCATTCCCGTATAGACAGCCAAATTGTTTGAATTCGAGTAATAGAAATACAGAAATGGAAACAATACTATACATCAAAGGCTACTGCTGACACGAGTAGAATGGACTTAGACGTACAGATTATGATGATGAAATATGACAATGATGAAAGAAATAAAACTATTAGGTGGAATGTTGTACGGGATATTTTAAATTCAACTTGCAAGTTTTCTGTGTGTGAAATGACAATTGGAGTAGGTTTGACACGATATCAAAAAGTATATTGACTAAATATACCACTCTGAAATGACGATATGATTCATTTACACTGGTAAACAATGAAACTGAACTATTTTACGATAAGACAAATTTGTGTCAATAAAATGAACGTGTCTGTAAAGAGGATTGAGGAGACGGCTTACCAGTGACACGAAGAGATAGTGGAAGTAACTTCGAAGCATTTGTAATTCTAGCATCTGAAAGAAAGAAAGAAAAAAAAAAATATCAAAATTAGTGTTATTGGTATGAATATGTTACATTCATTACGTTATCGGCTTAACGATTTAATATTCGTTACCTTTTTAAAATGTGAAAATGTAAATATTACACAACGATTCCTGTCAATATGAAAAGGACATGGTTTCAGATGTCTGAATAAACAGCTGTCCATGATTACAAACTAATGGAGAGTTGCTCTGCCTCAGATTCAGAATTGAGTTCTACATAACATCAATGTTTAAGAATGCGGTATCACCTGAAGATAATACTATTCAAGATCTTTATGAATCCTACCAATCTAAGACCCCTGTGGAACTCAAGGTCAAGATATCACCTTATGTGGGGGCGCTAGCTTGATGGGAGGAAGCCCTCACACTGGTGGTCAAATTGAGTTAGAGGGGCATTCGGGGACATGGCGACCCGTGCTAGAAAATGATGGAAGTACATTCCGACATAATAATATGGCATTCACCTTTTCTCCTCTTGTACTTCTCACTCTCTGTTATCACGATTCTTACGTGTTCTATTTTGTTTCCCCCTTCACCCTCTGTATATAGCCCAGGGAGAGGGTTTGACCCCCTCATATTGGTGGTCAAATTGGGTTAGACGGACATGGCAACCCATTATAAAACATGGTTAAGCAACTGCTGTTCGACGTGATTCTGACCCCCCCCCCCCCCCCTCATTCTCTCCATCTTCCCATCTCCCCATCTCCCAAGCCTCAATATATCCAATATTTCCTCTATTCTTGTCCTTTCCGTCTCTCTTTAAGTTTCCCTGCCATCTTCTCTTTACCTCCACCCCCATCTCCCCCTCTCTCTCTCTCTCTCTCACTCTCTCTCTCTATCTCTCTGCCCCCTCTCTCTCGATCCATCGATCTATGTACGTATGTATCTACCTCTCACTACACCTCTCTATTACTCCCTACCTCTCTCTCTCTCTTTCTGTCTCTCCCTCTCTCTCTCTCTCTCTCTATCTCTCTCTCTATCTCTCTCCCTATCTCTCCATCCCTAGTTTTCTGCCTCTTAATATTGTTTACTCTTTGTTTCATCCCTATTTCTCCATCTCCCGTGACACCCCCTACGGGACTCGCATCACTTTATTTAGTCTCATAACCTAATTCTTGACCCGAGTGAAAACTGTTGCTACAAACATGACACAGTATACTGGCATAATATTGAGGTTTCGACGCATCTTACACGTCCTTGAATGCATCCTCCTCTCACCTGTCACCGCTATGAATAATAAACCAAGAATCATCATGCATTTTTGATAAGATTACGACAAGAGAAATGTGGCCATGTCGCTGTATCCATCTCCGCTATGCCCTTATTATACCTCAGTCATGCCGCCAAACCAACCCCACGCTCAATCCTAACCGACAGATTCTTAAAGCCCACTCCACACAATGCGATCTTAATGCGATCCAATTCTCGAAGAAATGGCAAATATGTTGGATATATAAATTTAAACATACATCATGTCCCCGATTCAGTTTGTAAATAATGATAAAAATGTTAACGTCATCCGGAAATGTAGTGCATTTAAGCTCAATTAGAATAAACAGTCGAATAGGCTTCAAATCGTAGACGGTCGCACTACTGGTATGACGTCACTACGATTATAAGCCGATTTAGCTTATCCTTCTCCAAGGATGCTTGGAATCCATTGATATTAAAATTGTTATTAATCATAATGACTATTTAGATCATCAATCATTAAGATTTTAGAATTGTGAATATCCATATCAAATGCTCTTTCAAATTCTTAGATCGTAGACATATCGTAAAGTGTTCGGTGCGCTTTAGTCATTCTGGATAATTATCCTGTTTTGTGTCTTGTCGATCTGGGGGCGTTTCACAAAGCCTTTTTTCAATGACAAATGACAAAAATCAGTGACAAATCTGCTGATAACGAATCAGAAGCAAGGATATCAGTAGCTTTTAACAGAAATGTCTGTCACTGATGACAAGCTTTGTGAAACGCCCCCCTGGTCTCGATCTGCTCGGTGTGACCGGGGCACTGTAATGGTGCTGAGTTCACGTGGTAAGTGATGGAGGTAAATTGGGGTGGAACCTTCTAAGAGGATGATCAGCTTCCAAGTTCAAAGAGTAGACGGCATGCTGTGATGGATGAATCGAATTCTTCTTCTAAATTACATTATATGACCCAGCCATGTGTGTGACATTGGGTTCCTGTTTCCTATCGGTGTCGTATATCTTCCTAGCGGCGTTGTAAAACAGCGAGCCAAGAGGGAGGCAATAGCTCTGTCAATAGTTAAGGGTGTAAGATGACGAGGACATCGACAATACGGAGCCGTACTGATATCGTCAACTTTTTAGAATGTTATTTTTTATTTTCATCCAAACTCGCAAAAACAAAGATACATGGTTTTCATTTCAAAAACAAAAAACGGTGTGAGTTGGGTTAGCAATTTGAGCCGAGCACGGGCACAATAGTTTTGTTGACTGATTTTGAAAGTCGGGCTGAGTATCATCACATTCTTTAATTCTTTCCTTTTCTGTTTTCATTTTCTTTTTCACACGTATTTTCTTTCCTTCGTCTTTTTGTTTTTGCTATTATCAGTATTTTCCTTCCCATTTAGTTTTCCCTTTCGTATTCTATATCATTATGCGGGCTCTCTAGCTCTATCCCTATCCCTCCCTTCCCCTCTAGGTTTGTATGTCTGTCTGACTGTGCCCCCCCCCCCCCCCCTCTGTCTCTGTCTGTCTGTCTCTCTCTCTCTCTCTCTCTCTCTCTCTCTCTCTTCTTCTCCCATCATCTCTCGTTCATTTGTTTTAAAACAAATTTAATAGTCTCTCGCCTTTTCATTCGTTCTTATCTTTCCATTCTACTTTCATTTTCTGTTCTCTCCCATATTTATTCTAACTTCTTTCTGCGTACGTTTCTTCATCTTCCAGATCTTGCTAACTTATTCCAAAGTCATGTACATCGCATTCTCAAAGTATCCCCGATCTTTATCATGACTGTTATACATTATCAGGATTATAAAGGTCTTGACCGCTTTGAAGGACAGAACATGATTATCTGTCAATAGAAACATCATCTTAAAATGTATCAGGTGCGTTCAGAACGCGAGCAAGGTCCCAAGGTATAGATCCTATAAGATTTCCATTACCACGCACCTGGTTAGACTCACTGGTATGAAACAAGGACACAGTATGGCAGCTATCTACACCTGATGTGAATATAGCCATCAGGGTATCATGTCAGAGAACCAAGTTTACATCAGTTTACAAATCAAGAATAGTAAGATTAGGAGGGGATGCGTAAAGGAGAGGGGAAAGGTGGAATATGTAGGTGATGAGATTCTTGTCATCATCTCTACATCACCGTTTATGTCTAAACTCCGAAGAAAAAAATATAACTGGTGTACAACTTTGCATACAATTGAAACTTGCCGCTCTAGCAGAGCATTAAGGAGTTCAACCTTTCAACCGTAAAGGTACAAAAGTTGCATCATTTCGATGGGTACACTTTTTTCACCTCTTGACATAAAAAGTGCGCTCAGTCATGGGTGTAGCTTTGCATCTAAAAAGGTGATAATCAGTGAAGGTGCAATTCAATACCATTTTATTTCTAGGGATATTTCTATGTATAATATGTAATGCCAAACTCTTGAAAGGTCAAGGGATTCGATGAATAGTATTCAATAAAACAGTTCAAATGTCGATATCTTTTGATCTAAAATTTGCTAATCAGAAAAGATTCCACAGGTTGAAAATGTTCAGGCCGTTTAAACTGTGAAACTGACTTCATTGTCTCGATACATAGCGTTCTGTGTAGGTTATGATGATGAAGAATGAAAATAAAATCATTACCTGTTCTAGTAAAATGGGGAGCGTCTCTCTCCGGCAATCAATGACGATGTGATTAGCTCCTGATGTCTTTATCCTTTTAAGCAGAGCTTTGTGATTTGATCCGACCATTCTCTCAACTTTAAGCTGGATACCCATGCTCGAGGACAGCTCTAAGATTCCCTGAAGTCTTTCTAAAGCTGTAAGGAAGATGGTCAAAGTATTTAATGACTATCTTTCTCTCTCTCTCTCTCTGTATCAAGCAAATTAACAAAGTTATAGAGTTGGATCATAATTATCTTAATTATTGAGATATATGCCGTAGGATTGTAGTTTTTAAAGCATTCACTGATGGATTAAAGTTGAAAGTTTAAGATCAAACTATCCCCTCTGTTTCCTCAAAAAACATATTGATAAACATAGATAAAAGAACAATGACAAATTGGAAATGAAAGCAAAAAGAGGCAAATTGGCTTGAAAAATGATAAAAACAAGCATTGCCACGACAAGTTTATTTGCATCAGAATGAGAGGACCTGTTGTAAGACATTGAAAGAGAAAGTGAGAGACAAGGAGAGACAGAGACATCCAAAATCATACAGAGAGAAATATAGGATGACATAAGAAAAACAAACATAGGCTAATAGAGAAAAGGAAGGGGAACAGGGGGAATTACAATAACCAGACATATGTAGGTGGCGCGACAGAGACATGGAAAATGAGAAAAGGTGATGAAAGAGAAAGAGAGAGAGAGAAATAGCGGGGAGAGGATGGAAAGCAGAGGGAGTGAGAGGGAGCATCATGAAAGAGTGACAGCAAATGCAGAGAACATTCCGAGTTGGTCGCCTACTAACCGATGTTTATTTTGTTTCAGTATGGGGTCTACCTTTGACGACCCCTTCCCACTCCTCCCCCCCCCCCCCCCCCCCACCCACCCAGCTAGTCACCACGTCGCTTTAATGTTAAAATGGATAAAACCAATTCACCCCCGAGACAGAGAGAAAGTAGGACAAACATTCATCGCAGTCATCTGTCTTCGGATTTACATGAAACAACTCTCCTTCCTTCCTTCCCTCCCTCCATCATGGAGTAATCCCAACTCTCCACTAATCAACGAGACGTAATTAAGGGCCACGATCGTATAGACGAGGGTGTTGGAGTCGATTCGTGCTTGCGGCACCCTACCCGTGCGATCGAGGCCTCTGGCTACAGGTTGGCGGTGTGCTAATACATGATGTAATACTAATTTCTGCTGCGTGCAAGAGTTCTCAATGTATTTATTGGCCATTCTGAATCCCATGATCATCAATTAACAGACATAGTAGAGGCAAACGTGTAATCCAACCTAGGTTTGTCCGTTTATTTCGCACTTCAAATTCTTTTGCTTGTATTTGTGTAGTAGTCATCAACACGTTTCAAAAGATGTCGCGTATAATTATTATTGTGCTTCTAAAGTTCATGTTCATTGATGGTTGACCGTTCGTTTATGTTCATAAAGTATTTCGTCGAGAAAGGGAGAGAAAGATAGAGAGAGAAAGAGACAGAGAGAGACAGAGAGAGATAGAGAGAAAGAGACAGAGAGAGACAGAGAGAGATAGAGAGAAAGAGACAGAGAGAGACAGAGAAGGGGACTTATATAGAAAGAGAGACAGAGACAGAGACAGACAGACAGAGATAGAGGGTGAGACACAGAGGGAAAGCGAGAGAGGGAGAGACAGAGAGGGGATGGAGGCTTGGATTGGGTAGAAAGTGCAAGAATTAAAAAGGCAGATATCCTGAAGAATAACAAACACTTACTATGTTTACGAATACACTAAACTTACCTTCATCTTCGTCGTACATGACTGTGACCTTCTTCCATTTATAATGTTTGACTATATCTACCATCAATGAGCTGATGTATCTAGCATGAGGGTATAAGCTGATGGTATTTGATAATGGCTCCACCCCTCCAAACTGTCTCCTTGTATCAACGTGAGGTACGTCCACCGAGTTACACACAGACCGAACAGCAAGAGCGCCATCTATCGACGTCGGGCCAACCACAGCTGCTATACCGTTTGCGTGTTGAAGTTGAGCACAAACTGAAACGATAAAACGAGATGATAAATTAGATGCTTTCCCCTTGATAAAGTCGTTTATGAATTAAGGTTAAAGTGTTATCTATAAAGAGGACACTAACCCATGTATATACATGCAAATTTCTATATGTCTTCATTTCAAGACCCATAATCACTCCAAATTCTTTAAGACTCTGAAGACTTCTAAATGGGTATCTTGAACGTTACAATTTCTTGATAATCATAAAGATATGCATTGGCACTGGACGCAAATGAGCCTCCATGAATGAATACATCATAATAGATCATTATGTGACTATTATATTTTTATGACACCGACCGAGGCGGACTTGAGAATCGCCCCTTTTAATGAGCTATTGACGGTAGATTGATGAGTACTAAAGGGGATAATATCATTTTCTTTGAAAATGGAAAGAAGAAATAGAGGGGGAGCAATGAGGAGGATTGGAGGGAAAGAGAGAGAGAGAGAGAGAGAGAGAGAGAGAGAGAGATGGGGAGAGAGAAAGAGAGAGAGAGGAAGGGAGGGAGGGAGGGAGAGAAAGAGATTATAGAGATATAAAGAGGGGAAGGGGTTGATCATAATAGGAGAGAGGCAAATAATCAGTAAAGAAAATGAAACTACCAGTTTAAAGACTTAAAATAATAAATATCACCAACATTATAAAGATATTTGGGTAGTATGATGATGACGAAAACGTTCATATACGGCAAATCGGAAAAATTCCTAATAATGGACTGGACTTTTAACATCATAATGTAACGTGTGACCAAATACACCCCTGGCCGGAAGGAGGAGGAGGAGGAGTAATAAGTGGTCTACTTGACCAGGGCACCAGAAGAATCTTAATCATGTCCACGACAGGCAAACCAAGGCCTGATTTTCATTAAATTGTCAAAAACGAAGAGGAAAAAAAAATCATGTAGTGGAACGCACTTTTGTTCTAAGCTTTTAAATGCAATTGAGATGCACTCTTACAGAAAATTGAATTTAAGAATTATATTGTCATGTACATCAGCGTGACATGGGGATGAAACAAATGTCAATGCGCGGAATATTATTATTTGGGGGAGACCATTTTAGCCTGAGGCCTCACAATATGAAAATTACATAATGTTTTCAAAATGTGTATGTAGTATCCCCATCTCTGCCATGAAGAATTTTAAAACAAGTAAAGCAACGACACAATTCCGGAAATAAAAACCCTTTTATGGCCTGAATCTGACATGCAAAAAAAAAAATCGGTTTCTGTACATATGGAATCTTAATCAATACAGGATGAAAACAGTTAATTACTCAAACAATTATATATTATAGTATTTATTGAATAGCTTATCGCAGCAGTAACACGAGTATTTTGTAGTTTGTTTTACATGTGCATGTACGTGGAAAAGCAATGTTTCCCCATTATATGATTATACCAAAGGAAAAGAGGAATTGGACACAAGGGTCGCGTCCTCTTGGCCTGACCTGTATAGCCATGTATCAAAATAATATTGGCTCCAAAAGAAAGTAGTCATTGAGGATGGAAATGAGAGAAACAGCCGGATTTAATGACCCCCTTCATTAGATTCGCCAAGGTCCAAGACCCATTAACTTGTCAAACTGAAATGATATAGAGCGGTGTCTGTGATGATTGACCCCTGTCTGCCGGACCAGTCTACAGGTCTGGACCTTCGGTAGAAGAGTGTCACTAATTTATTAATCAGATCTAACACAGGGAAGTCATAAAATCATGGCCTTGTCACTTACTATTATCAAGGGATTTTATTTAGGACGGGTGAGGTATGAGGATAAAAAACTCGGAGCATCGGCAGACATCCAACTCTGTCTTGTCAATTAACAAACAAAATTACTATGAGAAAAAACCTTGACAAAAAGATTTTTCATTTTTAATTACCTTTAAAAAAAATTGATTTGAACCAAAGCTAGATTTCAACAGATTGTTTTCTTCTTCAGATATTCAGATAACTTCAAACAATCGCTTTAACTTGAAGGCATCAACTGTGCCAAGTACTATTAATTTATGAGATGATGATGATGATGATGATGATGATGATGATGATGATGATGATGATGATGATTTACATAATTGACTAGTGCCATATTTCCGTTGAATTTATTCAAAACACTGCAGTAGCAAAACTTAATTACCTCTCTTTCTCTTCAAACGGGCATCCCACCAGACTTCCAAACCTATCTATAATCTTTGATATCGATAACAGGTTTTTAATTCAATACTTTCTTTCTGAACGAGAAGCTTAAATCCTAACGAACAGGAGACACGTAGATGCATGATAACCAATCAAAAACGTAATGTGGAAAGTGAAGTTTACTGAATAACTAAATATGCCTGTATGGTGGCTAAAACAGATGCGCGTAATTTGTTCCAGCCTTTGGTACAGCTGACCATGAGTGACAGGCGTTCTGTCCATCACTGCGGCTAGTAGGTCCATGGTATAATAAAGCTATGACAAGCTTATGAAGATAATGGCGATGGGAAGGTCATCCTTCACCTCAGCTAGCTGTACGGGTGTGTTTTTATTGTTGAGAGTAAAAACATATCAAAAGTTGTCAGAATTAGGGTTAGGGTTTATTAGGGGGGGGGGGCATTTCTCCCCGTTTGAGCCACTAAGTCATCACTTTCCACTTTTTACCAGGACATGTTGTTCATGTTGTTACGGAAATAGAATACGGTTTTCAGACCATACAGGGGCGTACATTTAATATTCAATTATTCACGAACAAAATCATTTTTTTTTTGGGGGGGGGGGGGGGACTGTATAATAAAATAACACAGAATTCAATTTAACATGAACTGCGCGAAAAGAAGCACTGCAGACTGTGGAATCTTAAATCATTTGGAATAGAACCAATCTTCCTGTCTGTTTCCCATTTGTCTTCTCAGGTTTAGTGTCTTGCTAAATACATTTACTTCAACAGCAGACCTACATGTAGGCAATGAATCCGCTATCTCTTCAGGATAAAGGATATTCATAATCAAAGACAATTGTGTCCTGAATTCGCGCCATTATCGTCTCTTATACCTGCGAAAGGTTTACCCATTAACACAGTCATTAATTCATTCTACCCACGGTGTGTCAACATCTTCAGTAGATGAATAATGGTTGTATCAATCTTTATCTATCGCCTTTTCTCACTCCATATCTTTCTAGATACCACCTTTCTGAGAGGAAGTATGTTTTCCTGGGTTGATGAGGATTGATGAGGCAAACATTCGATATTTCATTTTTTTTCTGGGAGGCGGGGAGATGAGGGGGGGGGTGTTATTCTAGGAAAAGGATTGTTTGTGATGGAGATGAAGAATGAGATGAAGGATGAGGGGTCTACCAGGAGGTCCCATCGGTCTCATTCCATGTCAACAGGGGTTATCAAGACATGACGATTAACCTATCCCCAACTATACCAATCTCTCTCTCTCTCTCTCTTCCCATCACTCTACCTATTTCCTTTCTGTCTTTCTTTCTATTCCTTTATCGATTTTCATCTATCTTTATCATTTTCTTTATTCTCTTTATCACGTTATCTCTCATTTTTCTGAATTCTTCGATCCTCTCGCTCTCCCCCTTTCCCCTCTCCCTCTCTCTCCATCTCTCTTTATCTCTCCTTACATCCTTTTTCCTTTATCTATTTATAATTCTCGGCCCCTTCTCTCTCTTTCGATTTACGTTTGTCTGTCTCTGGCTTTCTCTTTATCACTTTTTTTTTTGCTCTGTAAAATGCGTGCCATTCTGTCATTTGTTTTTAATCCATCTGTCTGCCTCTCCCTCTCTCTCTCACTCTCTCTCTCTCTCACACACACACACACACATACTCTCTCTCTCTCTCTCTCTCTCACACTCACTCTCTCTCTCTCTCTCTCTCTCTCTCTCTCCCTCTCTCTCTCTCTCTCTCTCTCTATCTCTCTCTGACTTTCTTTTTCTATCTAATCATCTATTTTCTATCTCCCCGTCTCTTACTTCTATTTGCGTCACCGCAAGGTCCCGGGTCTGCGTCAGATTCTCCATGTTGTCCTCGAAAGGAATTGTTTCATGGCATATCAACTATCCCAACATTGTCTCTTGAGTCCTAAAGTGGAAGGTCGAAACATTCTCGATGTGTGACTTTAGCCCACTTCTACCCGGAAGGTTTGCTTGGCAGAAAGGTGATGTCTTCACACCGCTTAAGATCATTTGCATCTTATTGCAACCCCGAGTTGAATTAACATTTACCAATTGCGATAATTTCCCAAGAGAAATTACTCCGCGCTGTAAAGGTAGCCATATAACTGGAGGTGTGCTCAAAGGCTGTTTATATTCCGATTACATAATCTCTTTTGTGATAATTCTTATCAAAGGATAACTGTTATTCTCATTAAACACCTGATATTTCAACAGTGATTGTTGAGATGCTTGGTGTTCACCTGGAAATAATTCATCTCACAAAATTTTAATATTACTACTGTTACTACTAATCCTACTTACATGTATGAGGGGATAGCAGTAAACATTTTCTTCTTATTACTAAAAATAAACTCAACAACAATAACAAAAGTCTACACAATAAAAGGGGGAAGGGGATGAAGCAATTACAAATCTAATTTGATGTTTACGCCGAAAAACTGCACCGGTGTATTTATATTTGTAATTGAGAGTTTAGAGTGCCCGATTCAAACACGACTGTTTATTTCATAATCATTGTATCGTGTGTTTTTTCTTCATTACAACGGCCCTGAAAGTATTCCTTCGTGAAAAAAGTGGTAAATTGAATTATTCCTTCAATGATTTCGCTGCAGAAATAACAGATTAAACATAGTCTATACATACTTTACCTTCATTATGCCAAAGAGAAATCTCTCTCTCTCTCTCTCTCTCTCTTTATAAAGATTAGTTGCATCAAGGATTGTGTGGTGTAGCTATAACTTTACCATTTTTGAATGGGAGGGGGGATACTGGGGGCTGTCTGACCCAAAGTTCGGAGAAATTGAGCCCCCTCAAAAACAGGGGGTGAGGAGGGATGAGCTGTCTGACCAGATTTACTGAGAAGTACTCACAAAAAACGGC